TTGTCGCCATATGGACAGAGAGAAACACTCTTACAGCTACGTGCTGCGCTGGCTGGCTGGCAAATCTGCTAATAAATATTCAGGTTGTGCCTCCACCTCAGTTACTATACGTCACTTTTTGTGCATCCAAGGAAGATGCTGCTCCTGTGGGGATTTGTTAATAGTACAGGTTTAATGAGCTGTGAAGAGGTATTGATTCTTTTGACTGTCGTCCATTTCAAGCTGCGCTGAGCACATGCTGTTTGTCTAATCACGACTACTGTGCCTTATCCTAAACCCTCAGAAAAGAACATTCTGGGGGATTATGCTGTCATATTCATAATTACTACCGCTTTCATCAATGAAATTTCGGATGGGTTCTCACTTGCACACTAATCTGCCGAGCACCACGTCAGGAAAGGCTGCAAATAACTGAATTGACATTGAGGAGACTTTATATTCGTTCATCAAGTGATGGGTTTAAAAAATGCCTCAGAGAAGATTTATCCGCTTCAATTGGGACTGGTCCTATTGCGGGTAAGCGGACAGTGTGGATAACTGAACAACAGCTTATTTTTATACAGCGCTCCTCACGTAGAGTAGCGTCTCGAAGCACCGAACGTTCCATAAAGTACAAATTGTATTCAGTGCTAACTAAAAATTGGTATCGTCTCCAGTCACTGCCAGTCCTTTTCTCTCTTTTTATTTCTCTTCTTTCTCTCTCTCTCTCTCTCTCTCTCTCTCTGCCTCTATCTATCTATTTATCTGTCTTTCTCACTCTATACACAGTATAAGATTACTGTGAATATGACAATTTTTGCTAGAGGAAACAAAGATAATGCAAAGTTGGACACATGTCTGTGACGTTACAAAGGAGCACGGTTCCTGTCCTTTGTAAGCTAGTGTGCATATATGCCTAACCAGTATTTTCTTCCTGCTGGTAACACAGCCCTGTGTTCAGAGCTCAATGCGGATAAACAGATCTAATAATAATAATCCTTGCATTTGATATAGCGCCTTATGCCATGGTTGAGATGTCTCAAAGCGCTTTACAGAATATACTGTAAAGTGGAGTGACTGTATATTTTGTGGGCGAAACACGGCAGCCAATGGCGCATAGCAGCGTCCCACAAACAGTCGTGGATTGAGTGACCAAATTATTATTTTTATTTATTTTTCTGAAGGGATTATTACCCCCCGGAAAAGTGATCCGCTAATCAGTTAACAACCGGTTTCGCCCTGCCCGGGAATATAACCCAGGTCCTCTCGCTTCTGAGGCGAGTGCGCTAACCACTGAGCTACAGGAGTGTATATACGCTGTTATAATAGATAATTGGCAGGTAAATAATCACTTGTACTGTATTGGTCTAATTCTAGTTCATTTTCTGCTAAAAGCCATGTAAGATTACAACAAATGATAGTTTGAGCCGTTGCTGCTTTCTCCAGAGTAGGCTGGGCAGCGGTGGGGGAGGAAGGCTGACAGGAGGGCAACGGAAGGAGAGACGGCCATGGGTGATGACGAGCCTCAAATGGTGCAGATCAACTAGGATCTAATAGAATGGCAGAACAGGCTCGATGGGCTGAATGGCCTACTCCTGGTTCTGTGATGCTCAAGTCCAAACCATGGTCCCTGAAACCTCTGCCTTTGATAAATTATTGTAATTAGGGAAGGGAGGTTTGTCCATACGGTAAGAGATGCAGGATGTTGAGAGATGAGGTTAGAGTGATGATGTGGGGGAAGGGTATTTGCAGTGGTGCCAGGAACGTTCACACTCTGCTGAGCAGTTTTCAGATCTCAGTTTGCACAGTTTGTGACTTTCTTTCCGATTGCCAAAGTAACATTTGTTACTTGTCTTTACTGCAGATTGATTATCTTGCATAGCCAGAATATGTGCTGAATTCCATAAACTGTAGGAATATTTTGTTGATTCTGATTTCTGAGAAATATTTGGGGTTTAATTCAGTCCACAAGGAGAGATTTTGAAATGAATTGCCTTTAACCCGCGCCCACACACACACAGTTTTACGTTACAGGATTTAAAGTAGTCTAAAATAAACGTGTACAATATATACTGTGTGGGAATTGTCAAATTAAAATGACCTTGCAGCCACTTAGTTGCATCAGCTGAGTTCAGTGTGGGCCTTTCAAATGTATGCTCTCTGAATCACAGTGGAATGCCATTAACATTTGTAATATGAGGAGCATATAAACAATAATAATAATTATCCTTGCATTTGATATAGCGCTTTTCACGTTTTCTAGATGTCCCAAAGCGCTTCACAGAATATACTGTAAAGTTAATTGACTGTATATTTGTGGGCGAAACGCGGCAGACAATTGCGCACAGCAATGTCCCACAAACAGTCATGGATTGAAAATGACCAATTTATTATTGTTTGGTTTTTTGGCGGGATTATTATTAGGCTCTGTGTAGAGTAAGGAAACTTGCCCAAGGTTTCGCCCTCTGCCTGGAATTGAACTCAGGTCTCTCACTTGCAAAGCGAGTGCTCTAACCACTGAGCTACAGGACTCCAGATGTATATTTTCTGGGCAAATTAATAAAAATAATAATACTTACATTTGGTATAGTGACTTTCACGTCAGGAGGAAGTCCCAGCGTGCTTCACAGGATACACTATAAAGTGCAGTGACTGTAATTTGTGGTGTGCAGGCATCCATTACCACTTGCTATCTTTTTTTTAACTTGTTTCCCTTTTGATCTTGTGTGGTGGGTGGGTATTTGTCTCTCTGATTGGGTGGGTATCTGTGTGGTGTGGACATTTTGTATGCGTAGGCGCCAGCTTTGCCTGCTAATCCTTCAAAACCAAAGATTTTAAATAAACTTGTATTTCTACGCTCTATAATTCCATCTAGCCTAATGATGCCTGTCATAATCTTCAGTTTACCACCTCCTCATAGCTTACCCATTCCTCACAGCCGCCAACCTCATCAGGGCTGATCTTTATATATATATATTTATACATAAATAAAGCTCAAACCTCCACTTCTCTGCAGTTTGTTTTCTTTTGGGGGAGGGAGGCAGCGAGGGTTGTGTTGCTGATGGAGTCTGTTTTGGCTGAGATCCAGCAATTGCCCTCAGCATCTGTCCACAAGGAGAAAATAAATGCTGAGCAGGATATAAAAAGCGTAACTTTGTCCTGTTTTATAAGCGAGTCTGTAACTGAGCAGCAAAAGGATAAACGTTGCACCCGCCCACCTTGGAAACAATAGCAAAGTCATCCTCAGAAATGAAACCATCCTGTCAGCAACAACCTCCCGCCCACAACCACCTTGGAAATCATCCAAGACTAACACAGAATGAACCAATTTACTGCTAGAAGTCATTGAGCCTAAATATAAATATAACAAGTTATGCAGTGCCTAAATTGACCCTTACACTGCCAGTTGCTAATGATGTGGAATATGAATAATTTTTAATGGATTTGAAGTGTCCTGGTGAATTGAAGGTTAATTACAGTGGTTTTAGAGGTGCATCAACGGTGACCACAGTGGTGGTGGTGTCAGTAAGACAGAAATATGATGTCCGTGTAACTGGATCTGGTCCTCTGTCTTGAGAGGTGTATTAGATGTGTGTAACTCTTTGTCCCGGCTCATTAATCAATTTGCTTTAGGGATCAGATCACAGGACATAGGTGACAATAATTCTGGGGCTTTGTTTAATAAGTGTAAGCTGTGATCAAATATCCAAATAGCCAGTAATTTCACTGCTTGTATTAGGCATGAAATATAAGATCACAAAACCATATACAAAGAGGCTGCTTGTGTTATTTCCTCTTCTAAAGGAAGTGTAGCTCTTTCCATACCTTGCCTGAAGTTAGATTGGAAGTTGGATCTCAGGATGAGAAATATTATTTGTTCAATTTGTCAACTTAAGTTTTGAAAGACAACACTTCTCAGACTGATCGTGAAGGCAGGGTTTAGGGAAAATACTTTCTTATCTCAAAATGCCTCTTTGATCATGGACCCAGGGATATAGAATTTAAAACTTGTATTGTGTTCAGGTTTCAATCCTTTGATTTACAATATCTTATCTTCCCTCAATATGGGATAATGCAAATAAGCTTCTTTTCCTGGGATATGTACTCACTTGTTGGAAACCTTCCGTTAGATCACTTTAGATTTACTTCATTTAAACAATGTTTATGAGCTGGATGCCAGTGACAAATGGGTCTCGCCTTTGTGGTGCAGATAACTGAATCAGATTCCACTGACTTCACACACTGGAAAATTTCACTAACCTTTTCACCTCCAAGGACTTTTCATTGATGCTTGATGTAATGTCAAGGTGAGAGTGTTACCGACAGCCTGGCTCAAGCCCTAAGTTGGGACCTGCACTCCAATGCAGTGCTGGGATGTGTTGCATTGTCGGTGGTGTCGATCTTCTGTTAAGTTGTCGTTAAACCGACGTCCCATCTGCCTGTTCAGCTGAACATTAAAGATCCCATGGCACTATTCGAAAAGAGAAGGGAGTTTCCTCTGGTGTCCTGGCCAACAATCACCAAATAAAATTAGTCATTCATTTCCCTCACCTCGTTCAAGTCCGTCTCGAGACCTATCTCTTTGGTCGTGCTTTTGGTCATCTTTCCCCTTCCCACCCACTCAACTCCCACCTCTGGGGCTAAGCCAGGCCTGTTAAGCACCTTAGGACGTCCCCTTGGTATGAAATGTGCTGTATAAATGTAAATTTGTATTGCAACTTGAAATATTTATCAGGCAGCCAGGACTGCAGTTTATCGTCTCATCGAAAGGATGGTACCTCCGAAAACGCAACACTCCCCCAGCACATCACTGGAGTTTTAGCCTAGACTGAGTGAGTTCAAAGTCCCAACATGGTGCTTGAATCCACAGCCTTCTGACTCAGAGACAAGAGTGATACCAGCTGAGCCAGGAAATTTGGGGGAAAACTAAATAATTACAGCCCATTTTAAATGCAATGTGTAAAATAGTTAGCATTTTTCTGTAGCAGTTTAAAATATATTCTGTGTCTCATTTTCCACAGACAAAGGGGCTGAGAGCTCTCTTCCACTTGAGACAATGTGGAGTGACGTCCTACAGCACGCTGGTGCCATCTGATGGTAGGTTTGTTACATTTTGATCAACGTTTAATGACCCTGTGTATGGGGGAACCCATCACTTAAAAGGAAAGAAGATGACAGTAGAAGCCATACTAAAGGTTTGCCTGCACTTCTGTAAATGGCATCCAGTTTTGTTTTGGCAGCCGAACAAATTGAAAAGCTGTATTAACACAAATCAGCATGCTTCACAACGGCCAGAAAGTCAGCTTGGGTTTGCAGAGTGGACCTGTTCATTGAGTCAATCACTATAAATACCATGAGTTGCAATACAATGTCAGAGCAATTTATGGGGAATTCACTGTCGCTCTAACCTGCACAAACTCCACTCAGATCCAATCTGTCTCCAGAATGAAGTTCTTCCTCGACTGACAGGAATTCTAATGAGATTGTTTTCGTTTAGAAGGAATCCATTTACATTTCTTGTTGTTTTATCGTCTTCATCTGGAACAACTGAGGGGTGACATTTTAGACGCTGTACCTTTTTAACATGGTCAGAGTTACGTCCCAAGTGTCCCTGAAGTCCAAATACTGAGAAGGAGCTTGTAGCCGCAGTTGAAGAGACTGTAATCATGATCAGGGTGCCCAGTTGAGGCAGTTTACTCTCTTGGTCAGTTTCAGGTGCTAGGTGAAGAATGGCTGTTTCTGTGGACCTCTGACAAAAATCCAGCGATGCACAGTCTTGCCTTTTCCGTGCTGTCTGAAGCTATTGCTTCACTTGCAGCGTGTTGATCCCCTGCATTTTTGTCAGAAGATGGCCCGTTTAGAATGCCATCGTTGAAAGCGGCCGATTTTGGAAGCATGCGACAACATTTTAAATAGGAAAATAACACTGCACTCAACCTCAATTTAGTCGAATAACGTGGAAATGTTTCCACCACAAAAAAGGCCTCCTGAATTGATATTTTTACAAAATTGTAAAATTCTACTTACTTCCAAATAATTTTGTTGTTAGAGAATTGCACAACATTTCTAGCCTCTAGTTCTTCATTTTTATGCTGCTGTGCTTAAGGGACTGAGAAACACAGACACGCACCTAAATAATGCCGATAGATGAAATGGGTGCTGACTCTAAAACCAGCCTCCAATTGTCAATAGAATGGGCAATGGACAGGGTTATGATGCATTGGAACAATCTGTTCCCTCAGTTTCTCTCAGTTTGTAATGGCTTCGCAGCAGATTCATGTCTGAACATTGCTTGTTTTTCAGGGGTCAAAGTTCAGTACAGGTATGGCCTTCCAGTCATTTCAGTCGTACTACCATCCAGAAAAGAGCGTTGCCAGTTCATTGTGAAGCCAATGATCATGAATGTTGGAGACTTTCTTAAAGATTTAAAGGATGAAGATCGAGGCATCAATAACGTTGCAATCTTCTCAACAGGTAATTGTTACTGAAGCGTTTGCATAGGAATTTTAGTTTAGATTGGGTGAGCATTTACCCAATTCTCGGAAATTTCATTTAAATCAAATACAAATAAACACAATTAAAATATAGTGTTGATTTCAGTCAACAGCTGCAATACATTTAAAGCTACTCACCTTGCAATGGGATCAAATTTCTAGCGTGCCTTGGTAAGAAATCTGGAAGCGTATTGCGCCAACCTGTGTTAACTTTGCTCCAACCCAATCTATTTTTGGCTTGGTGTTTTCAGATGTATCAAAAAGCCCCTACTCAAATTCCCTAATAAAGAATCCTATTGGTAATCACTATACATTAGATCCCATTGTACATTGATCCTCTTGGTTCAGTGTGAATACTGAGAGGTCATACTCAAACCGTGGGGAAATTCAGCTTGATTTAGGTAACGCTGTTTTTAACAGCATTTAATTCTCTCTTGTTTATGGCTAAGGTGTATATCTGCTCGCAATGATGCATTTTGAACCACATCCACATCACTGTCTCAAAGCACAACTCCCAACTTGTGTTTGTGAAGGACTTTAATTTGAATTGGACGATTTGCACTTGTCTCTTTGACTGGTCAACGGAGGCAGGAAGATGCACGAGATATACTGACTGCACAGCCGCTGCTATTTCAAAAATCACAGCGTCTTTCTCCCAGTTATCCTGTTAAGATTATGTTTTCATCCAAATTTACCCCCAAATTCAAATGAATTGGCTACTCATCTTATTGTTTGAGAGGTTGTTGGTGCAGATTGGTCTATATATAGGGCTGGTGGAAATCTGTAAACATTGGTTAACATGGATTTGGGGATATTTGTCTATTTTTATTATGTTTCACAATCTGACAAAAATTCATCTTCATTGATTAAAAATCGATTAGGAATTTTTGGACTAAAAAAAGTCTGACTTTCAGGTCATGAAATCGACACGGATTTCACTTCCTGTGCATTGTCCAAGTGGCCTTTGTGCCCGAAGAGACACTGACATCACTTCCCGCGGGCGTGCTATGTGCAGAAGTACTGTAGCAAGTCACAGCAGTGTTTGCAGAGCACACAAATCAGTGCTCCTGCCTGGTGTGACCTCCAAAAGATAGAATTCGGAGAAAAAAAATCCCTTCGAAAAAAAATTGTCGATCACGCAACGGGGAAAAATGCAAATTGATTTCCTCCGACGCTCCCATTCCTTCATCTAATTTCTAATCAATTTTCATTTTGTAAAGTGCTTCGAGACATTTATGCAGTGTGACTGGCACTATATGGTTATTATTGGCTGCCATGTATCCCGACGGCTGCCAGTGGGTAACTGAGCAGTGATCGAGCTTTGCTGCTGTGCTCAGCACACAAGATTTTTAACAATTGCTGACTTGAGGCAGTTTCAATAACTTTCTCGGTCATGGTAATCAAATCCCTGAGGATTGGGGGAAGTACAGGGAATCGGCCAGGGTTCTTGCTCCCGACTGCTAGCCCAAGACTCCGGCTGGAAGGTGAAGGTTCGTAGATGTGTACGCTGACCACATTTGTGTTGTTGTTTCTTGCATAGCGTGCTCTGTTCCTAATGCTCCAGATTCTATCACCTGCCTGCGCTGCTCTCCTTAGCACCTGACAGTCAGTCTAACAATGACGAGCTGTCCAGGCTCACGTGTGTTATGGCCGTTGTTTTGGCCAAGGTATTGTAGTGTTCCATCTCAGCCTGAAATAGGGAAAAGAGGCTACAAGCCTTGCAGCGGGTGTGAGGTGAAAGCTGTCCACTGGCTGAAGGAAGCAATTGAAGACAGTTGGGATAGAAGGTGGGCAGGTGATCAAGAAAAGGAAAACAAGCTGATTTTTCCATTGTACCTATCTTTCTGCAGCTGGCATCAGAGTTGCAGCCACTACACCTATGACGGCCTTGCTATCTAAGAACTTTGAGCTGGTTGTTAATGAGACAAAATACCAGGTGCAGCCTCCCCAACCAGGTAAGTGGGATCACTCCGATTAGTTTTAGGTGAAAGGAAAATAATAAAATGTGTTTTCCATCCATCGGGCCAAATTGGTGAGTTTTGTGAAGTGCCTGAAGTACTTTCTGCACTTTATGTGTGAGGTGTCAGCCTGGCTCAGTTAGTAGCGCTCTTGTCTCTAAGGTCAGAAGGTCGTGGGACTTGGAACCCATATAGTCTATGTTGATACTCCAATGCAGTCCTGGGGGTGTGCTTTAATGTTGGATGTGCTATGCTTCAGATGTGATGTGAAACCGAGGTCCTGTCTGCCTGTTCAGGTGGACGTTGAAGATCCCATGGCAATATATGAAAAGAGAAAGGAGTTTCTCCCCATATCCTGGCCAACGATTCCCCCAAATAAAATTGGTCATTCATTTCACGTCTGTTTGTGGGACATTATGCAAATTAGCAGGCATGATCAGCCACAAAATACAACAGTCCCACTTCTTTGCAGTATATCCTGTGAAGCACTTTGAGGCATCCCTACGACTTGATCAAGTGCTGTATCAAATGCAAGAATTATTATTATTATAGTACAAAGCTGCACCTTGCTCTTTGTAAACTACCTGCACTGATGAAACTTTTAACCTATGTATATCGGAGGAAGAAGGCCTTTCAGCCCATTGATCTCATCTTTCCAGAATACCCACCTAGTGACCGCCCATCACAGCAACAAGCTGCTTTTTAAATGAGTCCAGTGTCCTGGCCTTACCAATCCCTTCCTGGCACCCTGCTTCAGTTGTTAATTTCCATCTTCTCAGTTCCCCCTGTTTTCTTTGAAGAATGAAGTGCTAGACCCTTTCAGCTGGGTATTTTAAATCGCTGGCAGTGCATTTACTGAAATAAAGACTGTAAATCATGAGAGAATGTAATAATGCATAATGCAAAGAGTACCTGTTAACTAACTCCCAGAGTGGCGGACAGGATTTCTACAAATTCTCCGGCTGATTCATTCATTGCTTGTGATAACTATGTGTTGGCTGTAATCTGGCCTCGGAATCATATTTCAGGAACTCTGTACATTTGTAAATATTTCAAGAGCTTTGTAAAACTGTTTTGCCTGCAGAATTAACAGGTTATTTGACAGCAAAAGGGTCAATCACACCAAAAGGGAACTGTTTCATAAACAAACTAGGGTTCCCAAGCTATTCTGGACTGGACTGGACTGACTGTGGCTCAGGATTGCACACCATCAGTGAATAATGCTGGCTTTATGATACTTTTTGAACAAGCTATCAGAAGTGCTGACTTTGCAGTCTTTCTCTGATGTTTCTGCATGTCCAGCACTTTTTATTTTTATTTCAGATTTACAGCGTGCAGAAAATCTATATATGTTTTGGTCAGCTGGGGGGTTTGACCCATGCGGAAATGCTTCACTGTACTTCTCCAGGGTATCCCATGCATCCCACCTATACGTGAAAATTCCCATGTGGAATGGAATGCACACTGTTTCCTCGGAGTGATGCGTCCTGACTCCCCAATTCTGAAGCGTATTAGGCGCAGGTTGGCAAGAGCCAAGGCTTGGGGACCCAGACTTTGCATTGGGGTACTGCTGGTGTTTAACCTGCTAAAACCACAAAGCATGCCAATGAGAGAGCTATCTGGCAAACTTCTCATTGCTTGTCCAGTCAGGAACGTCCTACCTGTTAGAGCCTTGGCTTGCAATATATCCATAATCTATATAATTGTATTTATACTTGCTTATGGTAAGCAAGTATAGATTCAGTTATATAGATCTTTGTATGGTGTACTCAAAAGTTTTCAGCAGTGGAAGAATTTGAAATAAAAAAAACCTGGCTGGATGTTATACTTTAATGAGATGGTTTGCACTTAAAATTACTTCTGTACTTGGTAATGATGAAAGAAGCATCTCTATTTGGCCTATTTAATAATATCACTCAACATTGCTGTGCATATTGATGCTTTCGGTTTGAAATGAATAATTAAATATACAGCCTGCTTCACAAATCCACATGGTAATATATTTAAGAGGCCTGGGATAGAATCTATCTTCACTCTTGTGAAGTGCCCTTCGGCTCAATATCCATTATTATGATTTTTGCAGAAGCAGGATCCCTTGTCTAATCCAGTTAGTCTCCTACCTAAAAGGCATAACTTGAACAGCAATTTACACTTATATGCCACCTTTTATGTTGGGAGAATGTTTTAAAGCGTGGAAGCTGGAACGTCTTAAAGCGTTCACAGAACTGACAACGACACGCAGGCATTTTCATATACACTAGTTAGCACTTGACAGCTGACGTTTCAATTTCTAGCTTCAGGCCAGCAAGTCTCCAATTATGTCTACAGGCATCCCATGAGGCTAGCAAATCCAGATTTGGAAGAAGCACGATACACCACCGGTCCCTTCATACCCTGAGTAACTTTCTCTCCCGCTCCAGGCTCCGCGAGCCTATCGCCCCCATCCTCTGGGCTCCCCAACTCACAGAGGATCGAGTTCAATATCCTCATCCTCACTTTCAAAGCCCTCCACGGTTTGTCCCGCACACCGTGACCTTCTTAAACACTACCAAACCACCCTTCTCTCCACTGAGCAGGCACTGGACCCCCATCTGCCGCCCACCCCACTATCAGCAGTCAGACCTTCAGCTTTTCTGCTCCCACCCTCTGGAACTCCATCCCGGAATCCTTTCACTTCTCCCCATTCTTGCCTCCTTCAAGGCCCATCTCAAGGCCTTCCTCTTTGACCGTGCCTTCGGTCATCTTCCCACCTTCATCCCTTCTTAATCCAACCTCGAGCTTGGGGGCAAACCCTCAACTGTCCAGCGATGTGAAAGGCGCAGATAAATGCAATTTTTTGTTATTGTTAATTGTACTTCTCGTCCACTTCTGGTACAGCTGAACATGGAAAGTCCCCTGAAATTTTACTCCAGGTAAAATGTGCCTTGCAGGTTCGTTTAGCTAATTGTAATTACAACCTGGATTCCATATTAATTCTGTCGAGCGTGCTCTTCTTTGTGATGTGCAGAGCATGTGGTCCATGAACACGCTTCGCACATGGACGATGTGAAGAGCCTGGTCCATAGGCTTCATGTCGCCCTGCATCTGGAGGATCACCAACTGGAAAGAGAGGGGGCGCTGCAAGAGAGACTGGAAAATCTCAGGGGAGAGCTGCAGCAGATAGAGCAGGTCTGTGCAAAAGAATCAGCTGTGTTCCTGCAATTTCACCATATCTTTGTTTAACTAGTGCGTGTTCCACCTCTATTACATTGCACTTTTCTTTGATCGGGTGTGTCTAATTAGTTTGTTAATGATAAAAAATTCCTTCCTCCCCCAAAACGTCTATTCCAGCCTGTGTGTTCCACTTGCAGTCAATCTGAGGTGGATCCCTTGTCTTGAACCTGCATTATTTTTCACCGTTTCTTTCATAAGTCAGTGGATGTCCTGAGAAGGATAATGGCATAGAAACAGCTCAGCCCGCTGCCCTTATCTTATTCCTCCATCTGCACGGAAGTAAACACAGATGGAAAGGTCAATGAAGCTGCCAGTTATTGGTAACACAGCACTCCAAGGCAAAGCTATTTAGATGACCAGACTGTCACAGCCATAAGCTTATTTATTATGGGTCACAGCTTGATTTTCACTGAAAACCTGTAGTGAGTGAATGATGGGAGGTGGAGGGAGGGGTGTTTGTGAGTGTGAATGTTTGTTTCAGGTAAATTAAATAAAATCAATGCTTCTTACGATACTCGAGAGTAAAAAGAAACTCCACCAAGTGGTTTCTACCCTTTGTTTTAAAACAAAATACACGTTACACAACTGATAAAGACGGGACCATTAGATTTGCACTTTGGCAACCGAGTGTGACTTTAACCATGTCCGAGTCTGAAGAGCTTTAGTATTAATTGGTGTTATGAGATTGTTCTTGAAGGGAAAATAAATACCAGCCCAAAGTATCCATTTTTTTTAGAAATCTCTGGCATTGCTCTCATACTATAAATTTATTTTTTTCCATTTGGTCAGAATGAATGTTTTAAGTTCAAGCTATTTTCTTTAACTTATGTTTTCTTTACAACAATTTGCATGTGTTCATTTTAGTTTGGGATATAAATGGTTTATGGGTTAATATTTAATTATGTATTTCTATCTCTTGCTCAACAATTTTTTTCCTTCCCCACTGACTGATAAATCTATGGAACAGTCTCCCTAGGGAGACGGTGGAAGCAGAAAGTGTTGATTCTTTCAAATGAAAATTAGATAGCTTTTTGGGGCGATTTGGGGATCAATATATGGGATACAGTGTTTGGAATACAGTGAGTAGTTCAGGACATGACACATGCTTGCAACTGCCAGGATGGTGGAAGGCGAACTGGATCGACCTTCGTCTTTTTTCATCTAGCATTTCCTATGTTCCTTCCTTCCAAAAGGCATCTGACGCATTTTGTGTTGGTGTGTGTGTTTGTGTGTGCGTGTGTTTGTATGTGCGTGCGTTTGTGTGTGTTTGTTTGTGTATGTGTTTGTGTGTGTGTGCACATGCCTGGATTCAAATAACAAATTATATGTTGCCTGCAATACTGTAGGTGTAGATTTACATACCAAATGTAATGATTATTACATTGTTGTTTTCCTGTCTCCCCAGGTGAAGTCTCAGTTATTTCACAAATCTGAAGCTAAATCTGGAAGATTACTGTGGGGTGGTCTGGCGTTGATGTCCACTCAAGCAGGAGCAATGGCTTGGTTGACTTGGTGGGTGTATTCATGGGATATAATGGAGCCGGTTACTTACTTTATCACCATAGGAAGTTCCATGGCTTTCTATGCTTACTTCCTACTCACACGCCAGGTAACTATCAGATTACATGTTGTCTGCTTTATGGTCAATGTGCATTAAATATGCATTTAATATGGATTAAAGTCTAAATTTGGACAGTAAGAAGTACTTTTTTATTTACTAAAGAATAACCTGAGTGAGTATTTCGATTTTGCTCGGAGGAATTCACCCTTTCTTTGGTTTGCAGCGCTTTTTATTGCATATTTCATGAATTGCTAGCATACTTTACTGTAGAGAGAGAATGGAAATGATCCAGAGAGAGTCACTGCAAGAACTCTTATCCTAGCTTCCAAACACAATACCTGCAATTTACGCTTAACTCACCTTGGATTAAAAATTGGCCAAAGAGAAGGAAACAGAGGGTCTTTGTTGGGTGAACTAAGTCCCCTACTAAACACTGTCGCTAAAGTTCATAATAAATCCTTGTGATGTGAAAGGGGCTGTAATAATGCAAGAATTATTATTAGGTCAAAACTGGGGGGTTGTTTAAGTGGGGTCCTTCAGCAGTCAATACTCATACTCCTGACATAAATTAATTACCTGGATTCGCAGAATTAGTGCAAGATAGGTAAATTTACAATCCACGACTGTTTGTGGGACACTGCTGTGCGCAATTGGCTGCCGTGTTTCACATATAATATGCACAATAAATTCACTTTAGCATATTCTGTGAAATGCTTTGAGACATCTCGAAGACTTGATAAGGCGCAATATCAAGTGCAAGGATTATTATTATGATTATTATATAGGAAGTAAGAAAAGGAAATGCATGTACTCCATCAATGCCATACACGTTGCCAAGAGGGAATCTCTATGAAAGATCTAGGAGTGTTAATTGATTCATTGCTCACCGTGTCAAAACAGTGTGAGGCAGCAAAAAACAAGGCAAAGGGGATGATGGGCAAGATTGCCAAATCATTTGAGTTCAGATCCCTAGAATCATACTCAGGATGTATAGTGCTCTGGTCAGACCACACTTAGGGCTGCCCAGGCCTTAGAGGCAGTACAGAGAAGAGCAATCTCTATTCATTGTACTGCTTGGTAATTTGTATACAAATTTGGGTGTACCCTGTGCATTCATAGCTATGCATGAGCTGCTGACAGTGATTAGTGTTTGCTCTTATGCGCTTCTCATACACGTTGTGTGAATGGTCAAACATTCATCCATGTGAACATCTGGGAGATGGGATTCACTTCTCACAGTCCCGCCTCGCTCACCCCGCTATTGGCGGGCGGACCATCTGCCACTCTGCCCCCACCCTCTGGAACTCCATCTCCCTCCGTCTCGCCCCCTCCCTCACCACATTCAAGACCCATCTCAAGACCCTCCTCTTCAGTCTCCCTTTCGATCTCCCTGCTTCCCCCTCCCCGCTCTCCACCCTCCCCAACCCCAACCCCCAGCTCGGATCCGTAAGCCTGACTGTCCAGCGCCTTGGGACGTCCTCCCGACGTGAAAGGCGCAATACAGATGTAATTTTGTTGTTGTTGTTGTTGAAGGTGCCAGTTAGCAGTCGAATGTGTGGACTTTCATTCAATTTCCCTTACACGTGTGTCTCCTTCTTTCCCTCCTTTTAGGACAGCTGTTATCCTGAAATGACAGACAGACAGTTCTTACATTACTTTTATCGAGGAGCCAAACGGTGCAAGTTTAATGTGGAGGAGTACAACAAAATCAGGGAGGAGTTGGCTGAGGTAGAGGCTGATGTTTCTGTGACCTGCTAACTCCATGTCTGCCTGTCCGCTAGCAAACCTCAGCAGGCTCCGGTCTGCTCCATGTTCCCCGCCCAGCCCGGCCCACCATCGCCAACCGGCCTTCAGCCTCTCTGCCCCCATCCCTTGGAACTCAATCTCACTGTCTCTTCGCCTCACCCCTTCCCGTCTCAAACTCTTCCTCTTTGACCGTGCGTTTGGTTACTCTCCTATCCCTTCCCTCGCTGCCCTCCATCCCTCCTAATTCCAACCACCAGCTCAGGTCCGAATCCCTGACTGTCTTGCACCTTGAGGAGGCCTACCGACATGCAAGGCGCTATACAAATGTAATTTGTTGTTCTTGTTACCTGTTGAGTTGAAACAACAAAGCTACCCACTGAACGAACGGCTTTGATTTTGCTCTGCAGGTGGAGAGAGATCTCCGACGATTGCGAGATCCTTTGCAGCTGCAGCTTCCCCTGCAGCAGCTCAACAGCAAGAACTGACGGCAGCGAATTCTCCTCGAAGGCACCACGTTTATTCCCGTGTCGGTCATTGTTGACCAGCGCAAGGTTTCGGTTCGATCCTGGGGTGCCATTTATTGCCTTTCAAATCCACGCCCAATGTTGCTTTATGATAATAACATCCACAGGTCTGGCATTCTGCACATAACTGGGTTCAAATTAAAAAAAAACTCCTGCAGATTTCCAGCACTTCTGGTTTTGTTTCAGATTTCCAGAGTTTGCACTTTTTTTCTTTCTCCAAGTTACTTTCTCACTCTGCTACAAATGCATCCTAATTAAATGCTGCACAACAGGCTCCCCTAGTGTCTGGTGGGTAAAGGCATCACTACGTGCATTAGCCATACAGGCCAAAAGGTCACAGATTTGTTTACCAGTGTGGGCTCAGTTAGCTGATCTCATCTGGATTAACACTTGGAAGTGCAAGATCAATTGACTGTTGCACCTGTGGGCCAGGAAGGCAAAAAACAAGTGAACATTTCTGCTCTCGTTTTTCCATCCAGTGATGTCTCCCTCTGTCCTCCTATCTTGATCAGTCCATGTGAATGGACATTGTGTGAGAATAGTTCAGGCAGAGCTGATGTGCTCCCCTGTTGAACAGCACTGCGACACTTGCTGTGCACGTTTCCAACTGAAGAACGGCCACTTTATAATTTTTGCATCTGCTACAATAATCCTTGCATTTGATATAGCTCCTTAGCAGCTCATCGCATCTCAAAGCAATTCACAGGATTTTATTGTGAATTGTAGTGACTGTGTGTTTTGTAGGGAAACACGACAGCCATTGGACAAAGCGATATCCCACAAATGTCCGTGAAGGAATGACCAATTTTGCCTGGGGGATTGTTCGGAAGGACACCCCTTTGATACTGTACGGAAAAGTGACTGGTGTCCTTACAACTACCAGCATCTTCATGAGGGGGAGAGAGAAGAGAAAAGAAAATTGTCCAAAACACAAACACATGCATGCCATTGGATTCCCACTTATCCAGACTGGAATATCTAGGCCTCATAACGTCCAGGATTAAACAAAATGGGAAAAATACTATGAGGTTCAGCTCATTCTTTTTCAACCTCCCGATTTCAATCTGCAACCCTTCAGAGTATTCAGAATGCATTTCCCTCACCCACCCCGATGTTTAATTTACAGCTGATGTTTGTGTCTGTACATATCTTGTCTATCACACGTCAACTCCCAGCTTGATTGGTGCTGATTACTTTGGCTGCTCCGAGGCAGTTTATTGAAGCCTTGTTTTTCCTGTGCAGCCAGCAAGTTAAATGCTCTTAATTTAATCTGGTGTTGGGGACTGTGGGGCTTCAGGCGGCTGAATTCTTTAGCGTGTCACATGTCCATTGTACTGATGGTCTCCTCGCTACAGTCGTAGCCCGGGGTTAGGACAAGATGAGGTGCGTTACTCATAATGTCACACATGAGGTTGAATGTTTTCTTTCTGACTAACAAGAATTAAATATTAAAAACAAAAAAAATCTTGCTGCCAGTTGGCAGACCGAAACAGTGGCAGATTTTACATTTCTTTAAAAATATATATATTTTACCTGTGTCCCTCCGATTATCTGATAGGTAAAGGCACCAGCACCCATTGAACATCACAGGCATCCACACCAGACCGAAAGGTCACATGAATTTTGGACAATCCTCCGTGTTTTGATGCTCACACTCATCTTCAAATCTCTTCACACCCTGGCACCTCCCTACCTCACCACACCACTGCCTCTGGTCTCCTGCTTGCCCCTCACACTTTCCGTTCCACCTTCGGTGGATGCGCTTTTAGCCACTACGCCCTGAAACTGCAACACTTGCCATCTGTCTCTCGCCTTGCCCCTCCTTCCCCATCTTCAGGGTGTGCTTGAAGATGTCTCTTTGACACTGCCTACGGACTTCTCTCCCCCAGCTCGGCATCATGCTATGCCACTGACAAGCGCACTGGGACACTACCCTCCATGTGGGACACTATGTAAATGCAAGTTGTTGCTTTTGGCAAACTAAACATTTGCTGCTGAATTGGGCAGCATTTCTGAGTCTTGTAAGTGACCAATGGGTCATTATCCTTGGAGAAAGGGCAAAACCTGCCTGCAGACCCACTCATCAAAAACATTACTAGAAAGGTTGGACTTAACTAACAAAACTCCAAAAGTTAGCACTCGCTGCCCATCAACAACATGGAAATAACCTGCCAAAATTCACATGGACATTGGCCACTTGAGCTGTGAAAGTGCCACAGCATAAGTCAACAACCAAGGACAAGAGGAGGGGAAAGATAGATCAGTTCTCGTTTGCCTCACCAAGTGAGAAGGCGAGGTTGGAGCTGATAGATTTCAGGGCCCGGCTACAGTTTGCTTCAGTTCAAAATGTACTTTTGTTAAAAAATAAATATTGGCTGAGTTGAGCTGACAGCGCCAATTAGATGAGTGTCTTATTGCTGCAGATCGCTTCATATTTACAGCCCACTAGGCAGCGCAGCTTAGCTACACTTTAATTGGGTTCTTTCTGCGTGGTGGTGTAGATTGGAGGAAATGACAGCTGCATTGAGCAACGTGTGAATGTGTTTTCAGCAACACCTGAACAATCAGGTGGTGTCAGGAAACCTCAGTAAGGTATGTTGTGAAGAAAAGGTGTCTTATTTTCTGTTTGAGTACAAGTGTTAAACCTGCACAAGTCAGAAGGGAGTGATCTGAGTTGGAGCTATCCTCAGCCCAGTTCAAGTGAATGAACAAACCAATTTTATCTGGAGGATTGTTCATAGCATCAAGCTGGGGGGTTTTTAAAATGTGTCCTGGCCACAACCACCCCTTCCTGGAAACCTGTTCCAGTTAAATTACCCTCTGGGTAAATACTTCCCAGTATCTTTTTTGAAATTGCCCTTTGCAACTCTTAAAACCTGTGTCCTCTTGTCCTGCTGTCTCAGTTGATTCGAACGTACTACAACGGAGTACCTTATCAATCCCATTTAAAATCTTGTATGCTTCCATAAAGTGTCCTCTGACATGTGCCTTTTCAAAACTGAAGATTCCTAGCTTGCCTAATTGCTGCTCAAAGCTCATTCCTCTAATACTAGGGGATTATTTGAGTTGCTCTATGCTTCACTGTAATTTTGTTAAAAAATAAATATTGGCTCAGTTGGGCCGACAGCGCCCAGTAAGACTGGGGTAGTTCCCTTGTGTCCCAGCAACTACCTAAGTGCCTTGTTGCGTTTAACTTAAGTACTATAAACAGTCTTTAATAAAAACACAAACCATGTTTATTCAATGGTTTTTATTCAGTATTTTGAGACAAGACAAATTGAACAAATGCTAAGAAAGGGAGTATAGTACTTCTAATATGTCCGAACCACAGAGATGACAAACACACACTACATATCAAAATCATGATCCAACCTTTTATACAATTTGCAATTCAAATAACACATGATTAGACTAAAGCAAAGGGGATTTTTTTCCCTGAAGATTTTCTGGTGTGAAACTCACGGACGTGCTTAAACATAAGGCACTCGACTTGCTACATTTTTGCCCCGTTTGTTCCTAAAGATGGGTAGGAGAAAGATCAGCAGGTATTCCTGCTCCTAATCACTAGCCAATGATCTTTTCTTGAAAGTGTATTGGGAGGCTAATCGTTACATCTTAAACTTTTAAGATCAATACGTAATATTGAAAACAAAGATTGTCCACAGATCTCAAAAACTGGAAAAATGGCTTCCTAATTAAGACTGAATTCCAGACGGTTTTCCAAATCTTGCATGATCTTAAATGGTCTTAAGTATACGAATATGAAAGATTTTGGTCATAGGTGAGGATAGGGTCAAGTTTGTTTGTCCTTTCCTGGTCAAATGGAAACTCACAGTATAGAATGACTATTTGCATGAGGTATCTGAAAAGCTGCCATAACCCATGATACCCCAGAGAAAATCAACACATACAGGGCATGAGAAGTAAACAGTCCTAGATTTAGACATTCCAGATGTAAAAGTTCCCTTTTTAAAAAAAGAAATGTTTAAAAATCTTTAATCTCACACTGAAAAGAAAATGAACATTCATTTGTTTCATTCACACATCCAATTTTGTCTCAGGTCTGTGAGCACTAGGATTATTTTACAAAAAGCTTACAAAAAAGTTTATTTGTCAAACAAAAAGTTCCTTCACCCAATCATATTAAAAAAATCAATAATGTGAAACTCCAGGGGACTTAGCATCTGAGAGGCTGTAAACTAAGCAGGCAGCCCTGCAAGCACCCTGAAACCTGATTAAAATGAGTCACCATAGCATAGCATTATAGTCATCAGTTTAGTTTTAATTCAACCTAATTCAGCTGGAGCCTGAACTACCTTCTCACATAAGCTGGGTAAACTCGAGAGTTCTTCTTGCATGTCCTTATTAGACCTCAATTTGTTTCTTGCAAATCTCGTAAGATTGTGGGCAAAAATATATTTTTGGTGGAAGCCTTTATTTTCCGTCCTCTGCTCATCTTCAGCGCAATTATACTTTAACCGGTCCCTTCTGAAAGAAGAAATGCTGCCATGGTGCTCAAAAGGTTACATTCCTATTCATACTGTACAGTAAAATTCACATAAGTCGTATCAGTTGGGAGCACAATATTTGATATGACTGATGCGAAGTATGAGTTACAGGCAAACTGTAAGTCGGATTTTATACGACTAACACATCACAGAAAACAAGTACCGCGTTTGTTTCAACGGAGGGCACTGTGGTGTACTGCACATGCAGTACTTCATCACCGCAGCTGGTAAGTGCACATGCGGTGATGGGTCAAGACTTTGTTTCCCGCGCGTGTTTCAAGCGAAACACTGCACAGGCATATTTCCATGCAGCCAGTAAGTGAGATAGCAATGTTACTGGTTTGGAGATGATTTGCATAGGATTTAGGATTATAAAAACCAAGAAACCATTATGATTTAGACGTTTATCCAATTTATAAAATACGACTAGTGCAAAAAATCTAAGTCATTTTTTGTAGGAAACTGAGTAGGACTTGGGTGTATGACTTAGGAGATTTATAAAGATAAGACTTATGCAAGTTTTACTGTATCTCTAGTTCTAATCCTTTTTCTTTCCTAATGGAGTCCTGCCAAGACACTAAAACAGACTGTTGTGCAGAACACAACCCAACCCTGACTGGGTGTAGGTGTCTATGAAGACTTTGGTCTGAAATAGAGTTTCTTGGTCAACATAGAGGCGAAACAGGGGACTTGTTTCTTCCCGAGTGCATTGGCATCCAAGCAGTTTTCTACACTGCGCTGCGAAACCTTCCTGTTCACCAGGGTCAGAATCTCTGTGAATTCTAGTTTTGAACCGTATTCTTTAAGCAAGTTACACAGATCCTGAATGTACCAGGAGCCGTTCACAGTTTCCCGATGAGAGTAGAAACCTGTGGGCAGAAAACCAATAAGAAGCCTTCAATATGTGAGAGGTCGAATAAAATGTAACTCATAGCTCCCCCTTGTGGTCACTACCTTCTCCACGTACCTGAGGTTAGGAGGTGATACATATTACACATGAAATGTATACTGAGCTGGGGATGTTGAAGTTTGTAACCTACGTGTACAAGATCAACACAATCAAAGCTTTTGCATCCATCATAACCAAGCAACAGACACGTTTGTTTTACACCTACCAAATTCACTTTATTTATAAACTAAATATTAATAATTTGGTCACTCAATCCACAACTATTTGTGGGACACTGCTGTGCACAATTGGCTGTCACGTTTCACCCACAAAATACAGTCAATCCATTTTACAGTATATCCTGTGAAGCACTTTGAGACATCTCAAAAACGTGATACAGCACTATATCAAATGCAAGGATTATTATTAACAGAAGTCGCTGGGAACATTCAGGAGAAAGGAAAGTAAGTGCATTGGCGTCTAAGCAATTTCTTACTAACGTTCTGACGAAGGGTCGTGGACCCGAAACGTTGATTCATTTTCCTCTCTCCATAGATGCTGCCTGACCTGCTGAGTGTTCCCAGCGACTTCTGTTTTTGTTTCAGATTTCCAGCATCTGCAGTATTTTGCGTTTAGCAAGGATTATTATCAGTAGCATTTACAATTTATGCACAATAATATTACATTTTGTATAGCGCCTTTCACGTCCCAAAGCACTTTTCAGGATACGCTGTAAAGGGGAGAGACTGTATTTGTAGGTAAATCTTACAAAACAAACAACAAAATTACATTTGTAAAGCGCCTTTCATGTCAGGAGGACGTCCCAAGGTGCTGGACAGACAGATTTACGGACCCGAGCTGAGGGTTGGGGTATGGGAGGGTGGAGGGCCGGGGGGGGGAATCGAAAGCACGGTTGAAGAGGAGGGTCTTGAGGTGGGTCTTGAAGGTGGTGAGGGAGGGGGCGAGATGGAGGGACTGTGGGATGGAGTTCCATAGGGTGGGTGCAGTGGAGGAAGGCCTGCCCGACGATGGTGGGGCGAGTGAGGCGGGGGATGTGAAGCAGGCCAGAGCCCGCTGAGCAGAGGGAGCAAATAGGGTGGTAGGGGGTTAGGCGGTCGGAGAGGTAGTGGGGAGCAAGACCGTGGAGGGCTTTGAAGGTGAGGACCAGGATCTTGAACTGTATCCTCTGTGTGATGGGAAGCCAGTGGAGTTGGGCGAGGATTGGGGTGATAGGGTTGCAGAGCCTAGTGCGGGAGAGGACATGGGCTGCAGAGTTCTGGATGATCTGCAGCCTGTGGAGGGAGGAGTTGGGGAGGCCGACAAGCAGCGAGTTTGCATAGTCGAGCCTCGAAGTAATGAAGGCGTTACAGCCAATAATGCACAGCAATGTGGACAAACAGCCATGAAGTGAATCGTCAATTTTATTTGGGGGACTCTTGACCAGGACACTGGGAGATATTCTGTTCTCTTTTCGAATAATGCCATGGGATCTTTACCATTCACCTGAACAGGAAGACAGGGCCTCGGTTTATCGCCTCTTCTAAGTGTCATTTTAGACTACATGGGATGCAATTTCCAAACCCACAACCTTCCAACTCAGAAGTGAGATTACTACAAACTAAACCAGGCTGACACCCAAAGATAGTAAATACGTGAGTGAATTGTGGCTTCAATTGGCACATCAATTCATTTTGATTGGAGCACTTGTTGGGTCTTTTTATGCTTATATCTGGAAGTAACATTTGTTTTATTGCACATACTAAATATTGATTCTGACCCATGTCCCTATGGATTAGCCTTGGGTTGAGACAAAGAGATTTCTACTGCAGAATCATGCCAAACATGCAATTACTTTTACACAATGGACAAAGGCTATTCATTGGAAAATGAAGGATTTGCCATGGCCTGTGTTCCCAGTCAGTCCTAACCTCTAAGCTTTTAAACTTGGGTTGCCCTCCTGCAAATGACTCAGATAGCAGAATTGAAGAACTTGACGCAGTTGATCATCAAAGCACATGCTTTCACATGTAGATCAGGAAATCTCACAGAAAGTACCTGAAGCTCAACATTCGTGTGATAGACTCTCAGTACCAAATGCCACCAATCTGTGACATCAAACTACCTTCTTCAGGAGTGGAGTTCCCACAGGGCAATGTGCAGGAGTCACTATTTGCAGCGTATTATGAAGAACATTTTAACCCACAGTGTTCCTGTGTGACTTCCTTGCCTCTCCCCACTGTATGAGGAATGACAAATGTTCCTATCTGCATGTTGAGGAGGAACAAATCAAGTTCTGGGTGCATGACTCCGTGCTAACTTTGCCTAATCTGGATTATCTTTACGAGCTGTACCTGTTGCAGCTTCGCTTACAACCAAAGGACCCAATATGGAATGTAGATTGACACACAGACAGACACACAGACAGATATTTCATCATTATCTGTACTCATCTGGGAGGATTCCTGTGGACGGAGTCCTTTTGGTGGGACTCATTGGGAGGATTCGGCACTTTAAAATGTAATTTTGTTGTTGCTTAGCTTTGTTTGTGTTCTTTATTTTGTTCCTGCCACTTGGCTACGTGCGCACTCTGTGACGCAGGATACCACAGCGCCGGCCACTAGGTGTAATTGCAGTGCATGTGTACATACATAGGTGCTCTGTGACACAGGATACCACAGCACCACTTCGACTCAGCGGCCACCAGGTGTAACTGGAGCGAAAAATGCAAAAATGAAAATAACTCATGAATGATGGGAGATGCTTGAAAACAAATATGCCCATGTCACTCTCAGTTGCAAGACCTTTCCGATGAAATATAAATCATGTCTTTATGTCAATCAGTTATTGAGATCCTTCTTAAAGTGCAGACAGACATTGTTGTTTTATTAGTATAAAGAAGAAGATAGATTACCTTCAGCCACTGAGTAGCACATGATGAAATCGGCGCCAGCGGGTAACGTATACACTGCTCCTGCGTCTGTAACCAGCTCATTCACCATAGCCTTCTTTTCCAAAGTGTCAACTTCATCCCTGGGTTTCACGGGCTCGTCGTGTTTGTCTCCCCGACATGCCTGCAGACATCAATAAGCGGATTGGAAAGAACATGTGTTTTGATAGCATCTTACCATGTCCAAGCATGTTTCATAGGCAATTCAACAACAACAACAAAATTACATTTGTACAGCGCCTTTCACGTCGGGGGGACGTCTCAAGGTGCTTAAATTCATCTACAATTCACCTGAGTTCACCTACAAATACACAGTCATCATTATACATGACAGTAAAATCCTGCAGTGCTTTGAGGCATCTTGACAATGTGATAAATGTGGAACCAGCAAATGCCAGGGTTATTAGAAGGAATCTTGTAATCACTGTCAAGTGTAGTGACTGTTTATAGGCAAACAAGGCAGCCATTTGCACATAGGAAGCTCCCACCAATATCCACAACATAATGTAAATGACTAATTAAGCTAGATGATTCCTGATTAGGGCCGCAGGAGAAACTCCCCTTTTCAAACAGTGTTATGGGATAATCCAAATGAAGAGGAAAACGGGACCTTAATTTAACCTTACAACTGAATGTCCAGTGTTATACTAAATGTGTCAGCCCCATAGATTATAAGCTCATGTTCCAAAATGGGGCTTGAAACCCACAACCTTCTGACATGTTGGCAAGAATGTTACCATTAGAGCCATATTTGTATTAACCATAAATTTGTTTTGCAACAGGAGTGAAAGGTGCAGCTGGTGTGAACGTTAACATGTTAGGGTGAGTTTGAAAAAATGATGTATGGGTTGATTAGTAAATATAAAATGAGTAATAGACACTATCGTTAGGCATACAATCTCAATACTCATATTCACACAACATATGCATGTATACTTTGACATTTTTTGTGCACTGGTAAGACAAAAACAAGTGTGTGCAAGTCTTGTGTGTTTTATTTCCTTGGTTACTGCTTATTGGTGAAAATTCTGGATCGATGGGTCTCACGAAAAAAAAATAGGTTTACTAAGCAGATGTTAACTGTTAAGTAAATATACATGTAAATATCCATGTGAAGTACATTCACTTGGATTGTGTGAGTGTACATAAGGTGTTTTCTACTAATGCATGTGTCTAAAACATAGTCGCTGTGACTAATCAGTGATTTCTATTGGACAACACTGCATTAGATGGTTCATACTGTTAAGTAGACAACCGAATCATTGCATTTAAATGAGTTACTATTTTTCACATTTCTCCCACTCACTGTAACTGTGCCTCACTCTGTGGAGGGATTTGAACGCAAGGAAGAGGATTTTCAATTCAATCTACTAGGGGATGGAGCGATAAGACTCGTGGAGCTTGGTGCGAGAGAGGACATGGGCTGCAGAGATCTGGATTGGGCCAATTGACCATCAGGTGGTAAAAAAAAACTGCAAACAACAATTTGCATTTATATAGCGCCCCTCATGCAGGATAGTGTCCCAGAGTGCTCGACAGTGGCAGAGCACAATGTTGAGCTGGGCGGTGGGTACCATGAACTTGAAGAGGAACTTCTTCAGGTGCGACCTGCAGAGTGTTCCAGAGTTAAACAGAGCATGTGGCTTTTGACTTTACCTGGATCACAAAGATTTTAGGTTTCCCGACCAGCGAAGAGCATTTGTCACCTCTAAACAAGGCGGTCATTTCCTGGATTTCAAGTTTTGCATCATAAGCAAAAATGTGGTTGTTCTCCCCGTGGCTGAGGAAGACGCACAGAAAACAATCAACATCAGAATGATCGGAGGTGGCCACTGTGAAAGAAACAAGAAAATATGGACAGATGTCAGCCTGGTAACACTCTCGTCTCCTAGGCAGAAGGTTGTGGATTCAAGCCTAACGTCGGTACTTTAAACTCATATAGTCTACGTCAGTGGAGTCCTGTAGCTCAGTGATTAGAGCACTCGCCTCGTGAGCGAGAGACCTGGGTTCGATTCCCAGCAGGGCGAAATTTTGGGTAAGTTTCCTTACTTCACACGCCTGATAATAATCCCTCAAGAAAAAACATAATAAATTGGTTACTTCAATCCACGACTGTTTGTGGGTCACTGCTGTGTGCAATTGGCTGCAATGTTCGCCCGCAAATATACAGTCAATTCACTAGTATATTTTGTGAAGCACTTTGAGACATCTAGAAGACATGAAAAGCACTATATCAAATGCAAGGATTATTAATATTATTATTATAAATTCCATTTCTGAGATGAAGGTCTTGATTTGTGCAGTGCTCGACTCCATAATTGCCTGACCTTTTACTCCATGGACTGACTCCCTATGGCTCATTTGCATACAACCCCTTCCCTCTGAACATACCTTTTCCAGGCTGAGAACTCAGTTTGCTTTTCAAAAAATTACCATCAAGGTTATGAATCAAATGCAGAAATACCGTACGATAGGCTGGTTATAAATATCACAAAAACACCAATGGTGCTAAGCCTCATTAACACGGCTTAAAAAATCAGTATCATGCAGAATATCAAACAATAATTACTATATTCCCAATTGCCTCTGTCAAGTTTGGAAACAAGGAAACAGCTCTTTTGGCAACAAGGAAACAGCGCTTTGGGATGTCCTCCCAACATGAAAGGCGCTATACAAATGTAATTTTGTATTGTAGTTTTGTATTTAATTAAGTAGAATGCGTACTTATTTTCACAAGCTTGTTAACGTTAATTTTTCTATCCTGTGTGCTGGATGTTGTAATGGGTTACATTTTCACTTAATGTGAGGATTTGATAAGACAGCATTTTTCAACAATCACTTTCATTGTCATTCATAACCATCTGAAAACCAGGCCAGTTACAGCAGCTGATCTAATATATATATATATTATATAGCCTTTAGCTTTATATAGAATTACCTGCCAAACCTAAGTTAATGAAAGCAATGCGTTACTGTAGCTGTGCTCAGGTTTACCGGACTATCCGCTACCCACTGAAGGACAACAGAATTTAATGAAAAGAATATTCGCCTGTTACCTTGATGAATTTTCTCCAAAACCTCTGCTGCTTTGAGGTTATCAAAAGCCTGAACTTCAAAACCAAGATTTTCCAATCTAAAGTGAAACATGAAAAAAAACATATTGACGATTGCACTTGATACAGCATCTGATCACGTCAAAATGTCTTAGAACAAGACCAGGACATCAGCACAAGGAAAACGTTCAAACCTGATTTCCAGATTCATTTTGTCAGCATTCGTGCCTCGTCTCATGGGCATTCCAAGGTACCAGAAAAAGTGCTCATAGTTGAAGATTAAGGCGAGTCCACGTCTTTTGTGGTTCATGTTGTACTCGACAGATGGGTCCATGAGATCAGCTCTAAGAACAACCAGTAAAATATCTCCATTATAGAACAAAGTTCAGCCACAAAATACACAGTCAATCCACTTTACAGGATATTCCTTAAAGCGCTTTGAGATGTCTCAACGACATGGTTATGCACTATATCAAATGCAAGGATTATTATTATATTATTAAGTAATTTAGCCCTTTCTTCAAGTGAGAATACATAGCTAGTCTGCCAAGCTAATAAGTCATTCATTGCCAGGGGCGTTGTAAACAGTACCACTACAGTAAATTCCAATTAACTCGTCGCTCCAAGTGACTCAGAGACGAGTTATCATGCGTAGAGAGTTAGGCATACAGTTACAGAGTCTGATCACGCATACATAAATAAATGCGGCTGGGATACTGATACCACAATGACTTAAGTGGTAGTGACATGTTAAGCCACGGTCGAATTATCAGGAGTTTACTGCATTCAATCAGATCATGAAATGCACTGACAAGGTACTTGTCCACGCATTGGATTTTGGGATATTGCAGGAGCTTTAAGCAATGCCACACCTCAAATCACTATCCAACTCACCTCACCAGCACAGGCTGGATGTTATTACAACCTTGTCCCCAAGCAACAGATTACGTTTCAAGACATTAGTAGCCAATGGTGTCAGTTCTGTTACCTACTGACATCACTCCCGCGAGACTTGCACTCAAGGGTATTCACTAATAGAAACTATTTAGCTTGAGGAGAAACCACAGATTTTCGTTCAAGGATATGAGAGGCACGCACATACCTACTGCAAAGCTTTTTATTTTTTAAAAAAATGGATGTCCTAACCTTCATCGATATAATTCTTGTGTTCACTTCATTCAAATATTTTTTGGCAAAATAAGAGGAAGAAATAATAGGCACAGGGCAATATCTCCAGGAATTTGACTTGCCAGATGATCCCCTCTTTCCCAAACAGTATTCAAGCCTGGATTTGATCAGTTTCTGACAGAGATGGTCACAGTCATAAGGCATGAAATTATAACCAAGCTCAGAACTATCTAAAGCCAAGATCTGCCTGAAGCCATTACTGAGACCACCAGCAAATCTCCCTTCAATGGTAGCTTTAACCAGGTTCTGATTTGCCATCTGTCCAACAAATCCCCCCCCCCAAAAAAATGAGTCATTCATTCCATAGCCATTTGTGTCCAGAAATTGGCTGCTGCATTCACCCACTCCACTTTACAATATATCCTGTGAAGCGCTTTGAGTTGTCTTGACGTGAAAGGTGCTATATCAAATGCAAGAATTATTATTATCTAATAACTCTATGCTTTGTTTTATGCTGCTGGATGTGACTTCCAGCGATTCGGAGCAGAGCTCAATTGATACTTCCCGCTCTCCCCAGGAACTGCGGGTGGGGGGGCAGAGGGGCTGCTTCTAACCACCTGAACCACCCAAGAAGCTTTGAGAGACCATTTGTAAGTGAAGGCCGGATGAATAGCACTATCTGCCGTCGCACTGTAATGGTGAGAGATTCAACACGCTGCAGGAACACTCTCCTTGAGGTGCTCCCAGCAGCCAAGGCTCCACTTCATTCTGCTTCGAGACAGTGCAGCTTACACAAGATTTACAACCTGACTTTAGCTCATTAAAGAGCACCGTGCAAAGTTAGGCTCAAAACTACACTTCCATGAGCTGTTTGCATGCTCAAGCGGAATCCATGTGGAGTCCTGTAGCTCAGTGGTTAGAGCACTCACCTCGCAAAGCGAGAGGACCTGGGTTTGATTCCCGGGCAGGGTGAAATGTTGGGCAAGTTTCCTTACTCCACATGCCTCTGTTTAATTTACCTAGCAGTAAGAGGAACCCAATTGTTAGTCGATTGGTGGATCGCTTTTCCAGGGGTAATAATCCCTCAAAAAAAATAATTTGGTCACTCAATCTATGACTGTTTATAGGACACTGCTGTGCGCAATTGGCTGCCACGTTTCACACATAAAATATACAGTTAATTAATTTTACAGTATATACTGTGAAGCACTTTGAAACATCTTGAACACGTGATAAGGCACTATATCAAATGCAAGGTTTATTATAAGAAGCTTTTAAAATGGACTTAAACAAATATTTGAAAAAGAAATGTATAGAATCGCTACTAAATGGAAAGCTTTTATAGAGAGCCAGTACAGAATCAACAATAACTTTATTCGGTGTGGTAAAACCTATGATTCATAGATTCATGTTGCTTTGTGTTAAATCCCACAGGTACTTTCACTTTAATTTTGTGAAGCAAATTGGCATGTTACAAGAGGAATGTGGACTTCCTAATCTCAAATCATCAGTCCGATATCTTTGCAGTTTTACATTCATAAACCAAAGGTTAGTAACTTGTGTAGCAATAAAATCCAGGTTAAAATATTACAGAGCAATGCAATTGCTAAGCACTGCATGCGTAAAACCCCACCTGACATTCAAACTTAGCCTGACCAGCAATCCAGTGAAACTTACTGTGACCCATCGTCAAATGCTCTTGTCATGAGATTATACTTTGTGCAACTTTGTCGATAATGATTCATGTTAACGACCCTCTTTAAACAAGCCGTTGAGACAGCAGAGCTCACACAAATTTGTGTCCATTATACTTCATCTGCCATTCTTTGGCCCATCTACTTAACTGATTATGATCTTTTTGAATGAGATGTATTGTTCATAGCTTGGGATGAAGAGTAAATTTTATATTCACAATAAGTGTTTTCCCTCCAAGTGAATAGTGTCGAACAGCAGAAGAACTCACTACTCACTTGCCCCCAGACAGGCTTTTCTCCATTCACTATTATTAGATACTGAATGTATCTAAATTCGGGGACGATACAAAGCTAAGTGGGAAAGTAAGCTGTGAGGAGGACACAAGGAGGATGCAAAGGGATATAGACAGGTTAAGTGAGTGGGCAAGAAGGTGGCAGATGGAGTAGAATGTGGAGAAGTGTGAAGTTATTCACCTATGTAGAAAAAATACAAAAGCATATTATTTTCTAGAGTGGGAGAGACTAGGTAGTGTTAGTATTCAGAAGGATTTAGGTCACTTTGTACACCAATCACAGAAAGTTAGTATGCAGGTACAGCAAGCAATTAGGAAAGCTAACAGCATGTTACCGTTTATTGCAAAGGGGTTACAAGGGAGTACAAGAATAGGGAAGTCTTGCTGCAATTGTATAGGGCCTTGGTGAGACCGCAGTTTTGGTCTCCTTATCTAAGAAAGGATATTCTCGCTTTAGAGGGGTTGCTATGTAGGTTCACTAAGTTGGTTCCTGGGATGAGGGGGTTGACCTACGAGGAGAGATTGAGAAGACTAGGCCTATATTCTCTAGAACATAGAAGAATTGAGGTGATCTTATAGAAACCTATAAGATTCTTAAAGGTCTTGACAGGGTGGATGCTGTGAGGCTGTTTCCCCTGGTTGGAGAATCTAAAACTAGGGGTCATAGCCTCAGGATTAAAGGTCAGCCTTTTAGAACTGAGTTGAGAAAACATTTCTTTACTCAGAGAGTAGTGAATTTATGGAATTCTTTACCCCAGAAGGCTGTGGATGCTCAGTCCTTGAACCTATGCAAGAATGAGGTTGATAGACTTTTAAAACCTTAAGGATTAAAGGATATGGGGATAGGCCGGGTAAATTAAATTAGGTTAGAAGATCAGCCATGATCTTATTAAATGGCGAGGCAGGCTCGAGAGGCCGAACGGCCTTCTCCTGCTCCTATTTCTTACGCTCTTATGTACTCTGCTTCTCATTCACCTACCTATAAAATACACAGTAAATCCTGTGAAGCTCTTCAAGACATCCTCCACACATTTCACATGCAAGAATTATTATTATTTTACTGCTCAGCAAATTTGCAACTCAGTGAGCTAATTTGCCATGAATTTCATCAGCTCGTTCGAATTTTGATGAAATAACAACTGAAAATCCAAGTAAACTGTATCCCGCAACCACCAGAGTAGCTAGTTAACGGATTTTAGTTTTCAGTGGAATCCTATAAATATCAAAATCTAATATAAAAGTAATCATAGAGCAGTATACCTACATAATAGGAATAAGACACAAACTCTAAAAATGTGAAATACAAAAAAAGCATCTCATACCTTTGGATAGGCGGCAGAAAATCAACTTCTGCGACATTTGCTTTACCCACTGAAAAAAAAAGAAGCAAATTACTGAGCACTCTGGTACTCTCGTCTCTGCTCAGCGGACATTAGTTTAGTTACCTCAGAATGCTTAACAGTGGCGGAGCATGATGTGATTAGGGGGAGGGTAAACGTAAGAGGAAGGTGACGTGAAGATGAGGTAGGAGGGGGCAAGGTGGAAGGATTGAGGGAGAGTGTTCCAGAGTTTTGGGCTAATCGGAATATTAGTGTGTCTTTAATATCTGAACAAGGAAACTAAATAAAGCTGAACAAACGCAAGACCTGAACAAGGACAGTGTGTGTAAAAAAAATAGTCATTACTCTTTACCGTAAATTCTGGGAAGCACTTTAAGACATCCTCCCAACTTGAGAGGCGCTACCACAAACCCGAGGATTAATTATTATTTTGACTATTGAGCACAGCGACCATTGATCGTAACAACAACTTCCATTTATATAGCACCACTCATGCTGGATGGCATCTCCTAACTCCCAATGAGTTGGTTTCGTAAAAGCTGTTACTGAATTTTCTTCAGCATCTCGCCACAGTAGCTTACAATTTTAACCAGGAAAGCATAGGAATGTGCTGTATATTTTAAGTCAATTTCCCATCATTCACAAAAATGATGTCTCTCTTTATGTAGCAGTAAAGTAGGAACCCAGTTGTTAGTCGATCGGCAGATCACTTTCTGGGAGGTAATAATCTCTCCAAAAAAAAGAATGTTGTCACTCACTCCACGACTGTTTGTGGGAGGGACACTGTTGTGCACAATTAGCTGCCAAATTTTGCCCACAAAATACACAGTCAATCCACTTTACAATATATTCTGTGAAGGGCTTTGGGACGTCTCAGCATTGTGATAAGGTTCTATATCAAATTCAAGGATTATTATTATTATTATTAAAAAGAAAAAAATGGGAAACTCACCATTAGCGTTTCCATCAGCAGACTTACTGTCTTGAGTTACAATACCTAAAAATAAACAATTCATAAAGAGTAATTGAATAGATCACGTTCAGAAGGGAGAAAAGGAAGGAAGGAAAGGGAGGGGGAAGAATAGAAGAGCGAGGGAGAGAGGGGAGAAAAGGCCAATCTAATTCAATGCGACCTCCCATCTCCCCACCCATACCTCAAATCCACTTTAATCTCTTGAGGAGAATTTCTGCACAAGTTTCCAGGAAGCCAATAACCGTAGGATCAGGAACAAGTGTTTGTACAGTGTTCAAATCCCTTGTCTCTCCAGGAGCATTGGCTGATTTCCCCCCTCTCTAGCCAAGAGAGCCAAGGTCACCCAACCCACTAGCCCGGCTGAGATCAGCCAATGCCCCACAGGAACCAGAAGCAGGGGAGTGAGGAGGAGAAGAGAAAGAGAAATTGAAACTAGGACCTTCTCAGTTGTTCAACGAGATGCATCTGTTTGTCGAGTGAAATTCAAAGTTCCGTTCTTGTAACAATATTGCTACAAATATAATAGAATAGAAAATGACATTTGTATAGCGCCTTTCACGTCGGGAGATGTCCCAAGGTGTTGGATTTCGACCCAAGCTGGGGGTCGGGATCAGGGTGGGCGTGGAGGACAGGGAGGGTGGCTGAAGACTCGGTCGAAGAGGAGGGTTTTGAGACACGCCTTGAAAGGAGGGAGCGAGGTGAAGGGAATGTGGGATGGAGTTCCATAGGGTGGATGCAGAAAGGCTGAAGGCCCAACCATCGATGGAGGGGCGGGCCAGGCGGGGGACATGGAACAGGCTAGAACCTGCTGAGTGGCGGGAGATATGGAGTGATAACAAGCTGGTCAGCAGGTCGTAGAGATAGGGAGGGGCAAGGCCGTGGAAAGCCTTGAAGGCAAAGCGAGGATTTTGAACTCTACATACCTATAATAAAGCACAGTAGAAATATTAATAGCCTGGAGCAAGCAAATGCTCTTGAGTTCTTATGCTACTGTAGCTGATTTTTCTACCTGTGTGCGTCTCTATTCAGCTGAAATTTCCTTACGTTTGACTTCACAGAGTGAAAGTTTGAAAGTTAGAATTGCAGGTATGAAATCTGTGGATAGCCGTCAACTGAATAGCAGGTCATGTGAGCAGGTCGCTGTGGGTGGGTGGGTAGGTAGGTAGGTCAGTAGGTAGGTAGGGCTCCAGCATGCTACCCCATGTGAAAAATGCTACCCCACGTGAAGAACTCTATAAAAATGCAAGTTGTTATTGTTTTTGTAGGTGGGTTGGTAGATAGGAGGTAAGGATATTAAGGAGTATGGAAAAGTAGCACAGAAATAGGATTAAACAATCTGCATGATTTAATAAATAGGCCAAGCAGGCCAAATGTCCTCCTCCTGTACCTATTTTCCTCCCAAGTATCCTTACAAATTTACATTTATATTAATGTCTTTCACATTGAGAGCTCGTCCCAAGACACTTAAAAGTACTGGTGTGGCACTCGAGCTGGGGGTGGGAGCTGAAGAGGGCGAGGAGGTGAAAGACAACCAAACGCGCAGTCAAAGAGGTAGGTCTTGAGATGGACCTTGAACGAGATAGGACACCGAGCGAGTCGGAGGGACTCTTGGATGGAGTTCCAGAGAGTGGAGGAGAAAAATTGAATGGTGGGGCAGATAGGGTGAGGGACATGAAGCAGGTGCTGCCGGGTAGGTAGGATTTGAGGAGGGTAGGTAGTCAATGGAGCCGGGCAAGGATGGGGGGAGGGTGATAGGCTTGCGGGCAAAGACATGAGGTGCAGAGTTCTACACAGTCTGCAGCTTGTGTTGGGAAACGTTGGGGAGTGCGGCAAGCTGAGAGTGGCATAGTCGTTCCTTGATTTCAATGTTCATTACAGCACTAGATCTGTGTTTTTTAAACCCTTCAACAGGATGTGTTCCATCCCGGAGTGAGGACGTCAACCTATTACTTATTCTCCCTGAAGGGAAGTGTCACTATTATAGCTCCTTTGTCCTGGATTACAACAGAGAAAAACATCAGTGAGTGAAGGGGAAAAGTAAAAGAAACAAGGAAGGGGATGGAGAAAGAGAGCGAATGCAAGACATGACAGGTTTTTGCAAACAATGTTGTTTTTGATCACAATATTTTAATACGTCGTAACAGAGTGCTTCCTTAACTGAATCAGTGGATATCTCGGAGACTTAGAAATCTGGGAGTATGAATTACTTTGCCAGCCTGCTTCTCATCTGTGTACAAGTGTAGTAAAATTGCTAGAAACAGAGCTATTCTGCTGTGTTACAACTCATTATCATCACCTGCTTCAGTGTCACATACTAAATGTTTTTCTCAGTCTTAAGACATGCAATGAAGAAGCACAACCGGTTTATGCAACCTTTATCTGGAGCAGTATCAGATATCAGCAGGAGAGGATAATTGGTGTGCAAACAAAAAACGACTTGCACCACACATTTTTTTCTGAATTCTTGTCAAATCAGCTCTGCTGGAAATGCGAACGATGGGGTTTGAAGAAGGAAAATTAAACAAAACTTTTGATTGATCAAATTGAAACTTAAGATGCAATACAGACGCAACTCAGCAACTTTGATACCAGGTGCTGGTCAGAGCTACGCTGTTGCATTGTATTCAGACATAACGTCTCCCTTTTTTGTGAAGAGCAATAGCTGGTACTGCATATAGCTAACCTGCCAGCATTTCGGAGTCCTGTAGCTCAGTGGTTAGAGCACTTGCTTTGCAAGCAAGACACCTGGGTTCAATTCCAGGCAGGGCGAAACCTTGGGCAAGTTTCCTTACTCCACACGCCTAATAATAATCCCTCCAAAAAACCCAAAACAATAATAAATTGGTTATTTTCAATCTACGACTGTTTGTGGGACATTGCTGTGCGCAATTGGCTGCCGCGTTCGCCCACAAATATACAGTCAATTCACTTTACAGTATATTCTGTGAAGCGCTTTGGGACGTCCTCCCGACGTGAAAAGCGCTATATCAAATGCAAGGATTATTATTATTATTATTATTATTGCACTTCCATATCACTCTCACCTTTTGAGACACAAGGTTATGCGTTTAACCCCACAATGGGACTTTGAACTCATAGTCTCGGCTGGGTGGGAGTTGTATTGCCAAAGTTGTATTCTTTCGGATGAAGCGGTAAATCGAGGAAATCATTAAAGATCCCATGGCACTATTTGAAAAGAAAAGGGATTTTTTTCCCAATCTCCCAGGCCAACAATCCCCCAAATAAAATTGGTCATTTACTTCATGGCCATTTGTGGGACATTACTATGTGCTGCTGCATTTGCCCATAAATACCAAGTCACTACACTTTGAAGTATATCCCGTGAAACACTTGAGACGTCTTCCTGACATGAAAGGTGCTATAGCAAATGCAAGTATTAATTTATTATTAACTGGGTCACTGCTCAAGATAGGAGCCTTCAACAAAAACGGGTCACTACACAAAACCTGTAGAGAAGAAGGAAAGCAATACTACAACTACAGTACTTAATGGAAAAGTGTAGCTTTAGGTTTAGGAGAAAGAATGTTTGTTAAACTAATAGTTGCAACGTCAAGTACACAACCACGTCTTTTAATTATGTTGAAGAAAAAGAAAATGCCTCAGGAAAGCCGCAAGATGTAGAACATCTTAAAATACAGCTCCAAATCGGCACAAATCTCTCCACGGCCTCCCCGCATGTTACTTCTGTATTTCTTCACCAGAGGATTTGTGTTGGCTCAAGATGCACTCTTTAAAAGAATCCATCACAGGCATGCTGGAAATTCTGATAAAACAGATACTAGGACTATGCGGTTTCAGCCAACTTTAAGCTATGCTTTCTTTCCCTCAAAGAGCATGACTAAAACAGAAAATAATTCTCGCTCACTCAATCACATATTTAATTTATTATAATAATATATTGCATTTGTTACAGCAAATTTCACATCGGGAGGAAGTTTCAAAGCATTTCACACAGCTAACTGGGCATATGAGCTGGAGGGGGAAAGGGGAGAGTTGAGGAAGTGGGGGGAATGCATAATGCATGCAGTGATGTGACATCCAGTACAACTGTTATACTGAATGAAGATTCAATCAATCATATATAGGTCAATGTTTCACAACTGGCTGCCATATTTTGCCCACAAAATATTCAGCCTGGCTCAGTATACATAGTAGTATACCTAGTAGCACTCTTTTAGATATAGAAGGTTGTGAGTTCAAGCCTCACACTGGAATGCATTGATACTTTTTCTTTCACTTTCAGAACCTCCTAAAATCATATCACTTTGCCTTTGATCAACATCTTTAAACCTCTCAATTCCCTGTCCAATATAATAATCCTTGTATTTGATTTTGATATAGCGCCTCATCAAGTCGTTGATACATCTCAAAGCGCTTCACAGATTATACAGTGAATTGACTATATTTTGTGGGTGAATACTGTATTTGTCAAGCACTTTGAGACATTTTCTACCCCCTTCGTATTCCACTCCCAGCTCGGGTGTCCAGCCAAATGTGTTAAGCCCTTTGAGACGCTTTATAAATATAAATCGTATTGTAAAAGCAGGGTCCTATAGCACTCTACATAAATCAAAGATAAGCAAAATTCAGTGCACACAGTGACACGTAGACGTGCTGAGCGAATATAAGACATATTGTTTCATTTGTAAAACATTTATATTTTGATATGAATACTGTATATAAAAAAATTAAATCCTTCCAAACAAAACGAGGTGAGTGGGGAAGCTTTCTCGTTTTATCTGATCCTTCCAGTTGCAAAAATCATCTAAGAATCAAGTTAAAAAGTCAAATCACAACTTGGTCTTGAACTTGTTGTTGGTCACGCTTTCAGCTACTGAGCCCCAAAACTCAAGTTGCACTCTCCCTCAATCCCCCTGCCTTGCCTCCTCCTTCCCCAGCTTCGGGTCGCGTCTGAAGACCTTCCTCTTGAACCGTGCCTGCGGTTCATCACCCCCTCACCGACCGCGCCACACCCCTCCCCGAAGCTCGGCGTGGTGCTCTGTCACTGTCAAGCGCTCTGAGACGCTGCTCTGCGCGCGGGGAGCTGTATAAATGCAAGTTGTTGTTTGTTGTTGTCCTAGATTAATCCTATCAGGTTTCTAATTGTTCACCGCCAAATACACAAGTCCCTGCGCTTCGCTGCGAATCCCCTCTGAAGCACTTTGACAGCATGATAATGGCGCCACAGTGTATCAAACACAAGGATTGCTACAACACACCAGCTTCCTGGGCAAGTGGTCATCATCCCAACCCCATAAGACAAACAAAGGACAAAGAAAGACAAGCGAGAGAGGCTGCACTCTCTCTGCCTGAGGGCAGTACAAAAGGAGAAGCCCTTTAACTGCACCCTCCTCCCCATTCAATGATGCTTTAGCTGACATCTCAGTACCTGCTGTCTGGGGCTGCTCCTTGGTTGCCATCGCTTCCAATTTCCTTGTGCTCCCAGTTGTGTTGCCTGTTGCTCAGAACCTGTCTCTTTCTCTCCTTTCGATGGATCGTTCACTCACTTCCTGGATCTGGGACAAGGCTTGGAAGCTGCTGGCTGAGGAAGTCCCACCCACAGCCTGGCTGGCTCCTCTCAGTTGACATTGGCTCTGGGCAGCTGTCAGTCAGGGTGCGGGACAGTGATTGATGTTGTGGGGAGCAGGTCTGAGTGCTGAAAGTAGAGGAGACAAGCTACCGCTGCTAATAATAATAATAATTTTTGCATTTGGTATATGTACTATTGGAGCGGAGTCCTATAGCTCAGTGGTTAGAGTGCTCGCCTGGCAAGAGACAGTCCTGAGTTTGATTCCCGGCAGGGCAAAACGTTGGGCAAGTTAGCTTGCTCCACACGCCTGTTTACCTAGCAGTGAGTAGGAACCTGGTTGTTGGTCAGTTGCCGGATCACTTTTCCAGGAAAAATAATCACTCCAAAAAATAATTTGGTCACTCAATCCACGACTGTTTGTGGACGCTGCTGTGCCCAATTCACTTTACAGTATATTCTGTGAAGACTTAATCTAATATAATATAATTCTGTCTAGATGACGTGCTAACGTGCTATATCAAATGCATTGATTATTATTATTATATTATTGCCAAGCACATTGCAAACCCAGCTAAACACACAGCCGCATTGCTTACTACGCATCACTAGGATTCAAATGTATTTTGTATTCGAATGGATGGATCACTTAAACTTAAAAGAATAGATAAAATTAATCACTCACTTCATGACTGTTTGTAAGGCATTGCTGAGCGTAAATTAGTTGCGGCATTCGCCTGCAAAATCTACAGTCACTACACTCTTGCGTTCATTTCTGTGTAGCGCTTTGAGACATTAAGGGTGCACAGTGATGTCCCACATTTTTTTATAATTGGCGTTAAGGTAGAGTTAAGGTAGAGATCAGTCATGTCTAATAGAATGGAGGAACAGTCTCGAGGTGCTGAATGGCCTCCTCCTGTTCCTATATAAACAGCCATGGAGTGAATGACGATTTTTGTTTATTTGGGAGATTGTTGGCCAGGACACTGGGAGAAACTCGCTTCTCTTTTCGTTCAGGCAATATGCGTTCAGTCCTACTGTGGGGCTTGAGCCCACAATCTTCTGACTTGCATCTTCATACAGACAAAGAAATCTCCACACGCAGAGCAGAGAGTTGGGGCACTAACACTCAATGCCACAAAAACTAGAACAATTGTTCTTTCTGCCAATTTTCACCCATTGAAAAAAATGGTGATATCGAAAACTCATACGTGGTTGAAAAGATTGAAATTTTAAATGTTTTCTATGTTCATCAAAAGGCAACCATGTAAGGTGCAGGACGTAGCTCACTATCTATCCGGTTAAAAAAATGATATCTTTGGTTTTAGTTAAGTTGAGTAATAAGGCATGGGAACAAGCCATTTGGCCATCCCAGTTCATGCTAGTATTATACTCCACGTGAGCCTCCAACGCTCCTGTTCCCCTCATTTGACATGACATGTGCATGCCACTGCCAGGATGGTGGAATGCGAACAGGGTGAACCTTGGTTTTCTTTGGCCTGCCAAATTCGTATGTTCTTATGTTCTGAAGTATACATTATACATCTAGATGGATGGAGCAAAAGTATTTTACATATTTAAGTTGTATTGTAAACTCTGAGGCATAGATCCTCCTTTGGCAAGAGATTTTAAGGACTGACTTTTGTTATTCCAAAGTTCAGGGCAGGCAGGTCATGAACCCACGCTGGATACTTGCAATTAGTTGCATTCATTATTTGATACTGTATCTGGGAGGAATTGTTTTACTGTGGAATTGTACCCTATTGGGATGATATTGCTCTGTTGACCTTTCTTCATCTAGAAGGTGTTGTTGGGGTAGGTGTAGTGGCTGTTTGATTTTTTAATAGGATTGATACAGGAGATTAATATCAAACACCACTCTGCACCTGTGTGTATTTTAAGCATTTTACATAGACTGTACAGCACCGAAACAGACCATTCAGCCCAACCAGTCTGTGAGTACAGTGTTTGTACTCCACAAGAGTCTCCACTCCCTCCTTTCTTCCTCCCTTTCCCTTCCATTCCACAGTAAGACATTTTCCACACAGGAATTACACAGCTTGTGTTTACACAATAACAACTTGATTTATATAGCACCTTTCATGCTGGGCAGTGAGTGCTTAACAATGGCAGAGCCTGACTCCGAGCTCGGGTGGGGGGGGGGAGATCAAAGAGGAAGGTCTTCATTCATGATCTAAAATAGGGGAAGGAAGGGAGCAAGGCAGAGGGATTAGGGGGAGAAGGTTCCGAAGCTTTGGGACCTAATAGCTGAAAGAACGGTCGCCGATGGTGAAGCAGAGGGCACAAGGGACAAGCAGGAGGCCAGAGTCAGCTGAGCAGAGTGGGGATATATAGCGTCCTTCACATGGGATGGTGTCTCATGTTGCACAGAGGCATAGTTGGACGTCGAGCAAGGTGAGGTGACCATAGGCGCTGTTAAAGAAGTGGGATTTAAAGATAAAGAGGGAATGGAGGGAAAGTTAGATTTAAAGAGAGTCTCATCACTGACACCAGATGCCTGAAATTCCACATAGTCTTAGCCTTTGGGAGATTGGCCAGATACAGGGAGGAATTACATTCTATTTTCAAATTGTCCAATAGGATCTTTAACGTCTAGCTGAAGAGGCAGAAAGCATGTCAGTTTAAAATCTCAACTGAAGTACGGCACTTCCAACACTGTAGTAACCACCCCCCCCCCCACCATTGTAGGTAAGGAAGATAATCATTCCTCTAAACTGTGTGCATTTCATTTACTTAAATGGTGTACCTGCCCATTTTTTTAATATGATTTAGAAAATGTATTGACTCCCTCTGCAATTCTACTGGAATCCTCTGGGACAACAGACATCTGAACAAATGCCTGACATACAGCAAAGAATTGGTGCTGGATCCTAGATGCTAATATCATCTAGTGGTAATGATTTCATGAACCACCGTGAAACTAATGTATTCATTTAAAATAGCATCTCATCACATGAAAAAAGAGCTCCACACAATTGGGGTCTGATATGCAGGATTTCTTATTGCTTGCAAGGCGAGTGCTCTAACCAATACGCTTCAGGACTTCTTCTATAAATGTTCTTTCGTCTTTCTTTTGTTTTCTTCTTCATTACATCATTTTGCATGACCCTCCAGCGCAGTGCTGAAGGGAGCACTGCATTGCCAGTGGTACTGTGCTTCAGATGTGATGTTGAACCGGGATTACGTCCGTCTGTTCCAGTGGACGTCAAAGATCGAATGGCATGCTTTGAAATGGAAAGGAGTTTCTCCTGATGTCCTGGCCAACAATCCTCAAAAAAAATTGGTAATTCGCTTCAGGGCTGTTTGTGGGACATTACTGTGCACAAATTGACTACCACGTTTGCCTACTAAAATTATCCAGTCACCACACTTAATTTAACAATTGCGTGAAGTCTTTTGAGCCATTTCAACATGATAAGACATATGTCAAATGCAAGGAATCTTACTATTTTTTATATAAGACCTTGTATAGAATTTGTGGGATCTGATATTTGTTTGAATGCCATTGCGCTGTGGTTATAAGAGCCTTTGTAATGAAGCCATTGCTTTAAAATGATGCATTTATTGCAAGAAATGTCAGAGCAGGCACTAACAGAGCAGCTTTTGAACATTCAGAGATTATACTTGGTAATAAGAGACCTTCGAACATGGCGTTTTATCCATTCAAAGTAATGGGACACTTTGGTGTAGACTCCAGGGAACCCACGTAATCCACACTTTTCCCCCCAACTAACAATGCCCCATACATAAGCCTCATGTCTTTCATCAATGCAGATCAGGGGACCTCCAGAATCACCTTTGCAGGAATCAACTGTTCCACTATCTGTGCCTAATCAGAAAAAAATATGTTTGAATATTAGATAGAGAACACTTTAAAACAAACGATAGATTGAAAACTCATCCTCTCCCATTACTTGCCTCATTGAATTTTGGAGTCATTGCAACAAAGTAACTGAATCAATGTGATATATACTCTACTTACACATACATAATATAACATAAAAGCCACCAGATGCCCAGCTGCCCCCCCCAAAAACATGTTGTTGTTATCCATGTTGAACTGTACCTACAATTTGTCTGAATGCTTTTCAATTTTGTTTTCCTATGTGAAAATGTAGCTGTACTTTAATTAATGAAAACAAAGTTCTTCCATATGTTTGATAATAGTTGAGCTCATAATTCTAACCTCACCTGCACATTCCATTCCTTCAAAAAATTTTGATGCATAAATGCTTGAACAGTTTCCCATAAGTTTGAGTTCAGCCCAGCGTAGAAAAGTTACTTTTTTTCTCTCTGAAAGTAAAATAATGCAGGTAGGTGACAACAGCACACCACACAACACATGGTACATCACACAATATACATACCACACACCACACAATACACGGCACTTCACACAATATGCATACCATGCTCCACAGAACACATGGCACATCACACAATACGCATACTACATACCACACATTACATGGCACTTCACACAATATGCATACCACGCACCACACAACACACGGCACATCACACAATAGCATACCCCACAACACACACCGCACAACACATGGCACACCACACAACACATGGCACACCACACAACACATGGCACTGCACACAACACATAGCACATCACACAATGCATACCACACAACATATGTTACATCACCCAATACATACCATACAGCACACACACCCCATCCAACACACACCACGTAACATACTCCTCATCACATACCACGCAATGCACACCACGCAATACACACCATGCAATACAATGTATATCAACCATTGGAGAATCAACCCTTTAATCTATAAATATATAAATCTGTTGAGTACCTTCAACTTGACCCCAGCCAGACACCGTGCATGTCTTGTTAGGTCTGAATAGGTAATCGGACCAGGGTACGCATATAGGCATGATGTTTTCATTGGTTGAAATGCACCCTTTCAAATCTGGCTCTATTTTTATTAAAGCAATGTCATTCACTAAATTGTAAGCATTGTAATCTTCATGGACAATTATCTTTTCGACTTCCAAAACTTGCTCATTCTTATCAACATCTCTTATACTCCATTGTCCAATTCTTACTTGATAGTTAGCAATATTGTGAGTACTGGAAGAAGAGCAGAAGTAAAACTTAATACAAAATGTAATTCTTGCAAAGCACTGCTGGTTACAAGTTCTTTCTTTTGCTAAGAAAGGAATATGTTAGGGTTACTCACACTACAACACGATTAGTATTATTGGCACAACATATTGCAATTGAATATATTGAGTTGAAAGCTTTTAAAAGATAATTCAATTATTTCAGTCCATTTGTTCTCTTAAAGGGAGTTGCAGGCTTTAGATTGAAAGCCTGTTCTCAAACATATCAGAAATGTTTTGATTTTTCTTCTCATTGCTGTGACTGGTGCTGATGTCCCTGTGATACGTAGGCTGAGGAATATTGCCCTGATTGATAATGAGCTCTCAAACAGAGTACAGTGAAATTCTGTTAATTGAATACTCAATTTGACAAGAAAAATAGCAAATCCACACCAAATTGATTGGATACTGCCAGGATTTGCTATTTGTGACTCAAAGTCACCGTTACTAACTCCAGTTACACCCCCCCAATCCACTCAAGTTAGATTTCAATATATATTTTATTGCAAATACTTTTGCTTGAGCAACAATGCGCCCTCCTGAATAACTTACTTGATTCCTATTCAGAATCAGCATGTTAGTGGTTATTACACTTACCCCTTAGCCTGTCATGTCGGGGGTGCTTGATTGCTGACTGGGCACTTAGCTGGAGGTGGGAATCGAGGGAGGTGGGGAGGGGAAAGATGACCTAAATCATGGTCAATGAAGTATATTGTGCGATGGAACTTGAACAAAGAGAGGGAGGGAACAGGTTGAAGGTGTGGAGTGGGGGCAGAATGGCTGAAGGCCCACCCATCGAATGTTGGGTAGATCGGGCGGGGGTCATGAAGCAGGCCAGTGCTTGCTGAGCGACGGACCAGGTACATAGGGTTGCCGGAGGTTGGATGGGGTGAGACAATGGAGGGATTTAAAGATGAGAACCAGGATCTTGAACTTGATCTCCTAGCAGGATAAAGGAAACAATGAAGCCAAGCGAGGATGGAGGTGAGGGGCTCATAGAGCCTGGTGCGGGAGAGGATATGGGTTGCAGAGTCTTGGATGATCCGTAGCTTGTACGGTGAAGAGCTGGCTAGTCCAGTAAGCAGAGCAATGGTATAGTCAAGCCTGGATGTGATGAAAGCGTGGATGAGAGTCTCTGTGTCTGAGAAGAGAGGTAGTGGTGGAGGCAGCAATGTTACAGAGGTATGGGGAAGCTGAGTGGCTCAGAGCACGGATACAGTGTTTGAAAGATAGTTTGGAGTCAAACAAAACACCAAAGTTCTGCACTGGCTCCGTGAGGTGGAGTGAGCATCCATGCAGATTGATGCCATCAGTACCTGAGGTGAGAAGACACTGACGGGAGACAATCAGTAGGGCCTCTGTCTTATTGATATTCAATTGGAGAAAGCTAGAGCTCATCCAGGACTTGATGTCTGATATGCAATGGTGCTGGAATCGAGGGTGGAGGCAGAGAGATTTGTGTGTCATCTGCATAAATGTGGAAGTCAACACCATATCTGCGGATGACAACAACAACAGCAACAACTTGCACTTATATAGCATCCTTCACAGGATAGCATATCAGAGCACTTGTGACATCAATGAGTTTGAGCATAAAGGTAGTGGAGAGTAGAGGAGGACCAAGATAGAGCCCTGAGTGATATTACATGTGACTGTTCAGGGTGGGAGGTGAAGCCGTTTGAAGAGACAAAGTGGAGGTACTGGGATAGGTAAGAGGGAAACCAGGATAGGACAGTGCAATGAAGGTGGAGAGGAGAGGTTTATATTGTATTGCATTTAAACAGCCATGAAGTGAATGATCCATTTTTTCTGGGGAATTGCTTGTTGGGTACCATGGTATGTCCATGCCTAGATTCCTCTTCCTTGACTCAATCTGCAGTGTTGTTAACAATTCATCATTTGATTCTGGTTCCATCTACTGAGGAGTTAGGCTATGACTTGTTCCTTATGTACACCCTCTTCTGCTCATCGCCCATCCTCATTCACTCTTTTCCTTACGCTCTACTTTTAGCAACGTTTTTCAGATTGCATGCACTCAGCATACTCATTCAACTCAGGTGAATTGGTTGAATCACAAAATCTCAATCGTACATGCTGTAACATTTGTGCTTTCTTTCAACTCTTCAGAGATCTTGTTTCCTCAGGCTTCTCACAAGGCTTTCACCTGTTATCTCGAATGAACATCTTTGGTTATCATCTGTTGGCCATTTTGTTATCATTATCTCCCCTCATGTGCAACAGAACTTTCAGTTCTCGTCTGTTGCTAAACCTGACTTCAAGCTGGTTTTCCTCTTATATGTCAAACACTTCTTTCCCACTGAACAACCCTTAACACACTACAGTATAAAACTATCCAAGTGTATCCAAATGTTGAATACAGCTCTCACATTTGGGGAGGTGCTTTTAACACATCTCTTGAACTGCTGGACAGAATACAAGAAGAAAAAACTTTCTTCTAAATAATGTTTCTCCAACCTCCTCCTCCTCCATCAATTCTCTTTCTCTATTTAAATGCACAACAATAACACAACAACAACAAGATTACATTTGTATAGCGCCTTTCACGTCAGGAGGACAACAACAACTTGAGCACCTTCCAATTAGGATAATGTATCAGAGCACTTTATAATGGCTGATCCTCCGATTCATCAAGTGTTTCATATAGTTTCTCACCTGACACAGTGTGCAGCTGTCAGAAACCAGCAACCACCAATGAAGCTCCCCCCACAGTTTAATTGGCCCTGTTTGTAAATTGCTACTTGCCAAGGAAATTCGCCCTATGGAGACAAATATTTAATCACAATTCTAGATTTATAAATGGGCAAATGCAGTTGCAGAGTACATCAAGTTTCATAAATTAAACTGTGTTTACAGAATTTAAGGATATAAGTACAAAACTAAAAACAGCAGCTATTTTTCCCTGTTCATGTGCATAATGTTTGTGGAGTCCTGTAGTGTTGTGGTTAGTGTACTTGTCTCACAGGCAAGTGGATCTGGGTTCGATTCCCAGGTAGGGCAAAACCGTAGTCAGGATGTCTTTCTGACATGAAAGGCGCTATACAAATGCAATTTGTTGTTGTTGTTGTTGTTTGGCAAGTTTCCTTATTTCACACTCCTCTATTTACCTAGCAGTAAGTAGGAAGTTGATTGGCGAATCGCTTTCTCAGGGTAAAAATCCCTCCGAAAAAAAATGTGGTTGCTCAATCCAAGACTGTTTGGGGGACATTGCTGTGTGCAATTGACTACCACGTTTCACCTACAAATATACACAGTCAATCCACTTTACAACATATTCTGTGAAGTGCTTTGAGACATCTCAATGGCATGATAAGTGCCCTGGGACTCTACTTTACATGAGGGGCACTTTATAAACCCAAGTTGTTGTTGTCTGCAACAAACCTAAATGTTAGTAGTCTGGCCCTTTTCTTGTTGAGCACATCTAACAAGAGAATTTTATTTGATTTTTTCTATTATTTTAAGACTGTTTCTATGCTGCTCAACACCCCCCTAAACTCCCAGGTGTCCTTACGCAATAATAACAATCCTTCCATTGGATATAGAGCTCTTTCACTTCATCGAGACATCTCCAAGCGCCTCATGGGATTTTACCATGAAATGTAAGTGGTTGTGTACATATATGGAAACCCCTCCATCTCTCCTGTCCCTCTATTGTTCTTGAATAACCTGGTAAATTCTGTAATTCTGTTCTAAGCTTCCTACCTCATGGTAATTAGTGCCTCTAGCTCCACCATTTCATTTCAAATTGTATGTCGATTAATGTCATTTTAGTCTTTGCCCCTTAAGCTCCCGGTCTGGTTGCCTTGTCTTGTGATCCAGGGTTTCTTAAAAAATATCGCTATTGATTTATTTAGTTTGGCCTGTTCTGTTTTCACTTTTTACTCTGAGCTTTAACTTTCCCATCACCTCTGATCAACAACAACAACTTGCATTGATATTTTGCTGCTCACACAGGGTAGCATCTCAGAGCACTTAAGATCAGCAACAGGCCCTAGTGTATTCTTATATTCCACATTACCCACTCCCACCCACCACATCTAATTTAAATGAATTGCAATTGCTGCTTTTCTGTTTTGTGTGTGACAGACTTACTTGCATAGTATCTATTCCACCTACAAGCCTTTTATGTCTCGCTGTGGCAAAATTTGTTTTTCTGGTAATATTTGCGATGCCACAGAATAAATGGTCAGAGGAATCCCTTAATAGCTTTCTTTCTAAAAGTAAAGACACATACATTTTTATTAGCCCAGTGAAACATCAGTTTCACACCAGGATACTAGCCTATTAATATCAATGTTTCTCTTACTACAAAGAAGTAAATAGGTCATACACCCTTGCAACACTCAATAGCTTGAATGATAGCATGCAACTTGGAGATTTTCCAATTACAATTAGATGCCAGTCTAACGGGTTAGTGAGGTGAAGGGGATAGGGTGGGTGGATGGGAAGCATGGGGGTGGAGAGGGCAGGTAGTGAGGTGAGGGGGGGCAGGAGTGTAGCAGAGGGGGACATCAGCCAATGGTTAATGTGAAGGGCAAAATCGAAGGGAAAGTTACTGCTTGCTGTGTTTCCTCGTAGTTGGTTGCATGACCAGAGCGTTAGTAGCAGCTCCCTAGCTATCTGAGCTGGGGGGGTGGGGGGGAGGAGCTGAGAAACTGGGGAGAAACCTATGAGATCTAACATTCCTAGAGAAAGGGAGAAAGTATCTGCACTTACCTGCATCGTATTCTGTGAATGAAATGTCTTTTGTATCTGCTAAAAGTAAAAGAAAATTTGTGCACAAAATTATGTTTTTTTTGACAGGGTAAATAAGGAGAAGCTATTTCCACTAGTAGGGACCATGGTTATAATAGACACAAGAAAAATTAAAGGCGAGATTAGGCAATTGTTTTTAACTCTGACAGATGTTGGAATGTGGAATGCCCTGGAAAGTAAGGTAGTTGAGGAAAGTCATTGTGGGTTTCTAGAGGGAAATAGATTATTATTATTATTATAATAATATATTACTATAAATAGACATATACATGAAAGATAGAGGCTTGAAGGGTTATAGGGATAAGGCAGGGCCTTGAGATTGAATGAAAACCTTGCTCTGAGACATGGTGCAGACTCGATGGGCTGAATGGCCTCCTTTTCCGCTGTAAGTTTCTATGATTCTAAACCACAAAGTGTCCTTCAATAAAAAGGACACTTTGTGGTTTAGAATGTTTCAATAAAAAAGCCAACACGTTCACTTTAATAATATTAGAACTATTAAACCAGTGATTTACCATAGCTGTGAACGATTATGTACCCATGTGCCCCAATAACACACAGGCATTTGCATTCAGAAACCTGCAGGAACATGCGTACATACGAAGTCAAGGTATTTATGGACATACGCATACGAACATGCAAAACCACACGTGCTCACAGACACACACACAGACACAACATGTAAGTACACAGTTAGACACAGATGCAGGGACTCATGGACCCACACACTCAGTGACACACAAACAGAGAGACATTTTAACATTTAGTTAAGGTTCTACATCAGGAACAATCTGTATAAATAGTTCAAATGTTTTACACAACAATTTGAGATGTGTGCATAATAAAATGGTTCATTCTTAGAGAAGTTCTTACTTTGGATTCTGGTTGATGTATGTTTTACTGCAGAATAGTAAGAATCAAAATGACAACTTTAATCAGCTGACAGTAAAAGCACTGACCACTGCAGCTTACTTGTAAAAGGGAAAGTCAGAAATAGTCACGTGTTGACACCAGACATCAGCAAGTCACTGGGGTTTAGCACAATTCCGAGCAATTTAGTATTTCCTGAAATTGCCCTTTTGATATCAAACAGAGAATTCAACTGTAATTATTGACACACTGGACCATCATCAGAACAAAGTTTAAATGGTAACATATTAACAAACCTTCAAACATCAGAACTCGCAAACATCTCTTACCTGGACAGTGGCTCTCATCACTTCCATCCAAGCAGTGATCTTCACCATCACAAACAGAATAGTACGGAATACATACATCTGACTTGCAGTGATAAGAATTTACACATTCTGTTTTAACAAGAGATGGCTTGCATTAGGTTAGAGTTATTCAAACTGTTTGTTGTCTTTGTAATAAACTGGCAAAGCTTTGCATGTCTCTCAGCCAAGCATATAGCTGCAATGGTGGGGACGTTGCTGTTATTGTTCTCAACAGTGTTCCTCTGCTACATTGCATTGGAGCAGGACCAAGTCACTGGAACCAACGGTAAGTCCAAAGCATTTTACATAAGAACATAAGAATTGGTCGCATTCATGTACAAATCACTTCATGCCCTGGAACTTCTCTACCTTTACTATCTGCTCATGCTCCACTCCTCTACCCACCCACTTCACTTAGCAGGTCTCTTGTCACCTCTGCTTCACGATCAGCCATTATGTTCCAAAACCTCTCAAACTCTCTGACTCAATCCCTCTGCCTTGCCCCCTCCTAGCCTGCCTTCAGATCACACCTGAAGGCCTTCCTCTTCCACGGTGCCTGTAGCCAACTCCCCTCTTTCAATGTCAAGCTTCACCACTGTTAAGCACTCCAAGACACTACCCCGCATGAAGGGTGCTATATAAATGCAAGTTTTTGTTATTCCATTTAAAACCTACAATGTTTGACTTTTCACTTCCAAGATGCTCTACTGCACAGGTTTAATATGGAAACTATGTTGCAGTTCCATTGGTATTGCTTTGATCAAGATTACCTTGGCCAAGTGCCTTAATTTATATGTGAGCCTAAAGAATGAGTTCAACCACAAGGGGGCATCATATTCTAGTCTAATCCTGTCCTCACCTACTGATATTAACAAATGCGCACCTTACTGTGGGAGTGGAAGGTGGATAGTGATCAAGAGTGGAAACTCCGTCTGATTTTCCCCTCCTCATCTTAGGGACACGGGGGACATAACAGAATTAAGAGACTCATTTCTGTGCACTCGGGAGCTTCTTCCAAAGGACAGAATACACAATTACAAAACAACAACAACAAGATTCCATTTATAGAGCGCCTTTCACGTCGGGAGGACGTCCCAAAGCGCTGGACAGTTGGGTCAGGACCCGAGCAGGGGGGAAATGGTCAGGGTGAGGGGAGGGAAGGGAGGGAGCGAGGAGGGGGGAAATGGTCAGGGTGAGGGGAGGAAAGGGAGAGGGCGAGGAGGGGGTAGGGAGTTGAGAGGGGAGCTGAAGGCTCGGTCAAAGAGAAAGGTCTTGAGACCGGCCTTGAAGGAGGAAAGGGAGGAGGCGGCGAAGGCACTGGGGGATAGAGTTCCAGAGCCTAGGGGCTGAGAGGCTGAAGGCCCGGCCACCGATGGTAGGGCGGTTGGGCCGGGGGATGTGGAGTAGACCGGAGCCAGAGGAACGGAGGGTACAGGCAGGCAGATAGGGGGATAGTAGATCGGAGAGGTAGGAGGGAGCAAGGCCGTGAATGGCCTTGTAGGTGAGGATGAGGATCTTGAATTCGATCCTCTGGGGGATGGGGAGCCAGTGGAGGCGAGCGAGGGTGGGAGTGATGTGGTCCCGATGCCTGGTGCGGGACAGTACACAAGCTGCAGAGTTCTGAATGACCTGCAGCTTGTGGAGGGAGGTGCCAGGAAGGCCGGCGAGGAGAGTTTCCATAGTCCAGCCTTGAGGTGATAAAGGCATGGACCAGAGTTTCAGCAGCGTGAGGGGTGAGGTAGTGCCGTAGTCTGGGACTCTGACATCTCTCCCCAACAACAGAAAGGCTATCTGCTGGAGATAGCTTTCAAGAAAACATTCAGCACTGCCAGAAAAGTATGCAGATATATACCTCAAAGTGTCAATTTGTCTTAGTTGATTGCACCCTTGCCTCTGAGTCTGAAGTTTATGGGAGTCAAGCCAGCACTTGAGATCCTAACCTCTGTCCTGAGAGTGTTATTTACAAGTCCCGTCTTCCAGATGAGATGTTTAACTAAAGTCGCATCCGGTATGTTAGGTGAATGTTAAAGATCTCATGGCACTATGCTAAGATTTCTCTCTGTATTCTGCCTAATACTGCATTCCCCTCTCCTTCAAATCCCAGGGTAAGACTGATTAATTGGCCACTCAATATTCATTGCTGTTTATGAGTATTGCTGCTGCAGATTATCTGCCACGTTTAGCTATTTTAAAGTAACTTGATTTGGTTGAAAAGCACTCAAATGGAATAATGGCACATAAACTACACCTCATACAGGGATCCCTGTATACATCACACCGAGTTCCAAGACATCAGCTACAAGGTGATAAGGTCAGAGCAGAGCTCTCACAAGTTGTGTGAGATACATGGGGTTACTGCGCAGGTGGACTGATCATGAGGCACGTTTTCTGTTGTGAGGCACCATTCATGCTGCAATGTTTCCGTTCAAGAGCTTTTTCAACCCTCTTATTGTGAAGTTTTCAGCATGTTAAGGCTCTGCATGAAAATCAAGCTTTTTATATTATTACCTGTGCAACATAATTCATCACTGAGATCCCCACAGTCATCGATGCCATTGCAAGCATTCGTGACTGGAATACATTTTCCATTTACGCATTTAAATTGGTCTGTAGGGCAGATTGGATCTGAGGAGCAAAGGCATGGACACATTCAGTACAGCTATAAATATTTTATATATATACATATAAAGCAAAACCAAATAAGGTGACTTGATAACCTGCTAACATTGCTCAGAGGGTAACTCGGGTGGATTCTCATGACTACTGCTTAGACAAGGACTGTACCTTGGAACATGAGACCAGTGCTTGCTAATGGTGAAGATTAGAAGTCCTGTAGCTCAGTGGTTAAAGCACTCGCCTCGCAAGCGAGAGACCTGGGTTCGATTCCCAGCAGGGCGAAATCTTGGGCAAGTTTCCTTACTCCACAAGCCTGATAATAATCCCTCAAGAAAAATAAAATAAAATTCGTCACTCAGTTCGTGTTTGTGGGACATTGCTGTGCTCAATTGGCTGCTGCGTTTCCCCACAAATATACAGTCAATTCACTTTACAGTATATTCTGTGAAGCGCTTTGAGACGTCTAGAAGACGTGAAAAGCGCTACATCAAATACAAAGATTATATATTATTATTATCACGGTTCAAGGGGCTTGAAATTAAATAGTGGAATTTCCTGCCAATCGCTGCGTCTCAGTCAGTTTCATTGATTTCCCTTAGCTAGGGTCAGTTCTGTGGACATCAGGTCCAGGACATGTTGATTGGTGCATTTCAGCTGACCTTCCTAGTTTTGCTGTGCTTACAATGGGCATTTTGTGGCGATCCATCACAAAAAAAACACTGCATAAATTGGGGTGGTGTAAGGCGTCTCTGAAATAATGTCCAAAACCCAACAACTGATTCTGGAGTTCTGAGCATGTGCTTTGCTCAGCTGCTGGCAAATCAATTAGAGTTCCCCACCCCCAATCCCCCTGCCCCCCACTCAGCATTGCTGTACAACACGAATTGTTCAGTCTCATCTTTGAAGCTGGTTTTCTGTCATTCTTAAAATAAACATTTAGTAAAATGGCTTCGCTCTGAAACACAAGGTAAATAGAGTAAATATAATACAACATTACATTTGTAAAGCAACTTACTTGCCAGGAGGACGCCCCAAGGTGCTGGACAGTCAGGGATTTGGACCTGAGCTGGTGATTGGGATCAGGAGGGGTGGAGGTCAGGGAGGGTATGGGTAGGAGGGTGGCCAAAGTCACAGTCGAAGTGGAGGAGCTTGAGACGTGCCTTGAAGGAGGATGCGAGGTGAAGGGAATGCAGGATGGAGTTCCAAAGGGTGGGGACAGAGATACTAAAGGTCCAAATGCTGATGGTGGGGCAGTGCGGGTGGGGGATGTCGAGCAGGCCAGAGCCTGCTGAGCGGAGGGAGTGGACAGGGAGCATACTTAAGTTACAATGAAGTAAATCTAGACCCAGGAGCACTTTGTTTCCATTGGTCTTTGCATGATGAAAACACATAGTCTCTTCAAGGAAAAACAATTTGCTCACAGTACAGGAAACAGTTTTTTGTCCAACTTTCTCCCGTCCTGTACTATTTCTTGCTCGGGTGTGTTCCACGTGAACCAGGCACCCTCTGGTACCTCACCTAAGTTGTCACTCTTTATGTGTAAAGCCTCCACATTAAATATCGCCAAGCTATTAAACTATAGAACCCATCACAACTGGTCCCATTCCTACCCAATCGCATTTTGTGCTTTTCTAGCGTGGGGCAGGAACCATTTGTAGGTCCTCAAACTACCGCCCTCGATAAGATTGGTTAATTCATATAAAATAACAATAAAAGTAGTAAGTAGTAACCTGGTCGATGACGGTGACACTCGACGGTAGCAATGTCTTTGGTTGCGCATTGCATCGAACGGTCTCCAATATCTTTGAGGTGAAAACATTCTGAAAGACTCTTCTCAAATCCTCGGCAGCGAGCGTTAGTCCAGTTCACCATGGGCCCAGTTGTGATTTTATTTCCAAAAGAACTTCCTGCTGAAGGTGCTATTGCTCCTCTTGAAAACAAGAAGGAATGTGACATGGTGAACAACATAACCTTCAAAGATAGCACTGCAATGTCCATGAATCCCATTAAGTTGTCCTGAACATAGCAAACAGAAGACACTTACAACTCGAATCCCAGCTCGCGGCAGACAACATTGGCTTCATGCATTGTCCACGGGTTACCTTGCGTGCACACTGAAACATTCTGTATTGTGTTGTTGAAACTGAAGTAGACAATTCCTTTCCAGCTCTTTTGAGGTTCCAAAGAGACAGCGGCCTGACCTGGGTTTGAAATAAATTAAAGTAGGTTCAATGTATGTTTCAATATGAAAGCTTACTTGAAAGCACTTCAGCTGTTGAATTGAAGTTTGCGGTTAGACTAAGTTAATTTGATCTGGGTTATTAGTTTCACATTAATTTGGACCAAGAAACAGTATAAGCAGAGCAGGAAAGGCCACCAGAGTCAGAGTAGTAAATTTTACGTATTTTGACCCAAATTAGAAATCCAGGCTCAATTCACTGTTCTGCTCTATGGTCAAGCAACGAGATCCATGAACTCAACACTGTCCAGAAATCAAGTTTGTAACTTTCTGGTCTGTGTGTCTTAGTATTGGACAATATTTGTAACCACTAAGGTAGTGGAGGAGTCCTAATGTCCGAGCAAGGACTAAATATCCTGTCCTGTAGCTCAGTGGTAGAGCACTTGTCTCCAAGCGAGAGACCTGGTTTTGATTCCCAGCAAGGCAAAGCCCTGGACAAGTTTCTTAATTCCACACGCCTGATGATATCCCTCAAGAAAAAAAATAATAAAATTGGTCACTTCAATCCACGACTATTTGTGGGACACTGCTATGCGCAATTGGCTGTGTTTCGCCCACAAATATACAGTCAATTCACTTTACAGTATATTCTGTGAAGTGCTTTGAGACGTCTAGAAAACATGAAAAGCGCATATCAAAATGCAATGATTATTATTTCTTTGTTTGTTTGTTTATAATATCACAGATGAAGAATCCATTCAAGGTGAACACTTACAGTGGCCGATTGGGGAGCGGGGTGAGGGGGCGAATAAATAAATTCTACCTGGCTCTAGGCATCAATTTAAGATAGTTAACAATCGGGCAAATGAGTAGGTTAGAAGAATTTTTTTCACACACAAAGCTAAAATGGATTCTGAGGCAGGAATTGCTCTTTAAATAGCCAGCACAGACACGATGGGCTGAGTGGCATGCTTCTGTGGGTAAAATTCTATGGTTCTGTTGACTTATACTATTTCTTAGCATTTTAAAGTGTGCAGAAGTTTGCAAATTCTAACCTGCAGCCTTAAATTGGAAGACGTTTTTTAACCTTTTTTTTAAAGAAATCTATGAAATACCAGCTTCACAACCAGACTGAATTTCAGAATTTGCCAAATTCTGCACACTCTTGAGATGTTAAGAAAATAAAACAACTCTGGACCCAAATAGAATTCCTCATCAGTATTGTATTATTGATTTTGACACCGAAAAAAATTATAAATGAGACCAGGCCATTCCTCTGCCTGGAGAACTGTGTTAAGACAGTGAAAGATAATAGCGGGGATGGGGAAAGCGAGCGGCTGAAGATTTCTTATTCAGTATCATATGTAGTTATGGGCACTTGCATGGGCACTAATGTAAAAAGGGAGCATTCTGATTTGCCACCCCATGTGAAGAGTACTAATATAATGGAGTCCTGTAGCTCAGTGGTTAGAGCACTCGCCTCACAAGTGAGAAGACCTGGCTTTGATTCTGGGCAGGGCGACACATTGGGCAAGTTTCCTTATTCCACACGCCTCTGTTTGCCGAGCTATGGTTGTTAGTCAATTGGCAAATCGCTTCTTCGGGGGTAAAAAATCCATCCAAAATAAATAAATAACTCAATAAAAATTAATAAGAAGTAGGCCACTCAATCCATGACTGTTTGTGGGACACTGCTGTGTGCAATTGGCTGCTGCGGTTTGCCCACCAAATATACAGTCAATTCACTTTGCAGTATATTCTGTGAAGCGCTTTGGGACGTCTCGAAGACGTGATAAGACGCTATATCAAATGCAAGGATTATTATTATTATAAATGCAAGTTGTTGTTATTGTTGTTGAGGAAGGGCAAAATCCGAGACTACACGAGATAAACACAGTTAGTTATAATCCCACATGGTGGTCAGCAATCTCTCTGAAATGTGTTCAACTGATGGTCAGTGCATCCCATCAACCTTTTACATTCTTACCCAATGAGCAGTCCCCAAAATGAGAGAATTTATACTTGTCCTGGGAGCACTCAGACGCTTTCAGCTGACAGTATGACATGAAGCGACGTGGTTTTGTAGAGCAGCTGGGTTCTCCAACCCTTACGCATTGATAGGGTATCTTGCACTGACATGAGTCACGAATACACTTTTCCCAGGGTTGACAGAAGACTTTCTGACATGATTTATACGTGTGATTCTGCTGTAGACACACCTCAGAAATTCGGTCATGCGAAGAAACGGAACGGTCTGGAATCTGTGAGTTATTGTCGGAAATGGACATTTGATACAAAAAAAAACAACTTAAAGGTCACATATGAAGCAAAAATATATATGATTCTGCTTTCAAAATATTTTTACAGTAGTTAGTTTAGCTGTGGATACAGTAGTACTGAACAGTTTTATTCACAACATCTATCAAAATGTAGTAAAATTTAATTCACAACAATATTGTTTTTCACTGTTTGAAATACAAGAGCTTCACATCACCTTTATCCCAATGGATTGAGTTAAAGATCCTTGTCTCACCATTAATTCCCTTCACAGTCTTGCCCCATCCTACCTCTGTGATCTCCTGGCCACTTCCTTCACTCAGCTTTATGCTTTGTGTCCCTCGCCCAACTCACCCCACCATCAGTCCATCAGTGAACAGGCTTTCAGCCTTTTTTGTCTTCACTCTCTGGAACTCCATGCTGGGGTCCCTCTGACTCCTTCCTTCTCTCACCTTGTTCAAAGTCTGTCTCAAGACTTACCTCTTTGATCATGCTTTCAGTCATCTTTCTCTCCCCGCCTCCCTTGGCAGCCACTCTGGTTCGGGTGCCAAGCCAGACTGTTTAAGTGCTTTAGGACATCATTTATATTGGAATGTGACAAGCAAATCCATGCAAAAAGGGAAATCAGGAATTGTTGATGTCAGCAACAGGAACTGATGTGGCAATGTTTTTGTCAAAGTATCTGAACCTTACTGTCACATTATTAGAGAGAAGCAACATTCAGTACAGAATGGTCAAGAAACCAGTTTGTTAGTATTCATCACACATTGCCAGGGAAGAGCCTTTGCTTGGTTTTGCAGAACATCTGATGTAGAGGGACATTGTTACTGACACCATCAACTTCAATTAGAGAATGCTTCCACAAACGTAACCTAAATGTAAACTATATAGGGCACTGAAATTTGTAGTAAACACACTCTGCATTGGAGAGAAATGAAAGGTAGAAGTAACAAATTCCCCAAATAAAATCTTGCAACCTTGGCAAGTTGTAACCTACAGCACAGATCACACAAAACTCCTTTAAAACTACCTGTGACTCGACTGCTACAGTTTCAGGGCTTGTGCCTTCTATTTCCTCATGATGTTTCAACTTCTACAAAGAAACAAAGCAGATCTTTAGAACACAAATGGAAAGTAAACCAGGGAGTTTATCCTCCTTAGAACCGAGACACAATTTGAACATTGATTATAGGAACCAAGTTGTTCTTTAGCTAAATGATTAAATCATTTCTGACATATCACAGAGACATATGAGTTTCTTCTCATTCCCCCACCATTCAATGTGCAGACGGTGCTCTCAATGGCAAGCTATGCAGTTTTAGCTGGTTAGACTCCAATAGTACCCTAATCCACACTCTGGGGTCCCAATCCTTGGCTCTTGCCAACCTGCACCTGATACTCCAGATGTAGGTAAAAAAGTTGGCCCCTCCATAAACAGAGTTCGCATTCCATTTGTGGAGTCCTGTAGCTCAGTGGTTAGAGCACTCGCTTTGCAAGCGAGAGACCTGAGTTCAATTCCAGACAGAGGGCGAAACCTTGGGCAAGTTTCCTTACTCCATACGCCTAATAATAATCCCTCCAAAACAAAACAATAATAAATTGGTCATTTTCAATCCACGACTGTTTGTGGGACACTCCTGTGCGCAATTGGCTGCCGCGTTCGCCCACAAATATACAGTCAATTCACTTTACAGTCTATTCTGTGAAGCGCTTTGGGACGTCTAGAAGATGTGAAAATCGCTAATATCAAAGGCAAGGATTATTATTATTATTATTCCAGACACAGACATTTTCATGTGTAGGTGGCATACATATGTGGAACTCGATCTGGTTTGGATACTCTTAAGCATGGTGATCATTTGTTCACGAGATCCTCATCCTCACCTACAAGGCCATTCACGGCCTTGCTCCCTCCTACCTCTCTGACCTACTATCCCCCTACTTACCTGCCCGAACCATCCGTTCCTCTGGCTCCGATCTGCTCCACATCCCCCGCCCCAACCGCGCTACCATCGGTGGCCGGGCCTTCAGCCTCTCAGCCCCTAGGCTCTGGAACTCTATCCCCCAGTGCCTTCGCCGCCTCCTCCCTTTCCTCCTTCAAGGCCAGTCTCAAGACCTTTATCTTTGACCGTGCCTTCAGCTCCCTTCTCGACTCTCTACCTCCTCCTCGCTCCCTTCCTTCCCTCCCCCCACCCTCCCTTCCCTCCCCCCACCCTGACCATTTTCCTCCTGCTCGGGTCCTGACCCAACTGTGCAGCGCCTTGGGTCGTCCTCCCGACGTGAAAGGCGCTCTATAAATGGAATCTTGTTGTTTTTGTTGTTGTTGATGGGTTTCTGCATGTGTCAGACCCTCAGCGCACAAAAAGCATCTGCGGTAACATTACAAAACAGTCCCATTACAAAACAAAGGTGGGGGGACTGTTTTGTTTTGCATCATTAACACCTCTTTAACCCATCATCCCCTGTCCTCTATCCTATTTTCTCCTTTGCCTTCCTTGCCCTGCCTTCCCCTTCTCTGTTAGCCCTTAAAAGCATCTCCCTCCCAACATGCCCCAGTTCTGACGAAGAGTTATGGACCCGAAACGTTGACTCCATAGATGCTGGCTGACCTGCTGAGTGTTCCCAGCGACTTCTGTTTTTGTTTGTGGTAACATTACATTGGCACCAGAAGACCTTGTTATTCTTGTCGAATAACAATCCTTCTTGTGCAGCCAAGTCCAAACTTGTTCGCACCCAATGTCAATAACAACAACAACTAGCATTTATATAGTGCCCTTCACGCAGGGTAGTGTCCCATTGAGCTTAACAGTGGCACAGTCTGATCCAGAGCCAGGGGGAGAGGGAGGGTGGAGGTGACCGTAAGCACGATCAAAAAGGAAGGTCTTTAGGTGGGATTTGAAAGTGAGAAGGGAGGTAGCTAGGCAGAGGGGTTGAAGGAGGGAGTTCCAGAGCTTCGGGGTGTAGTGGCTGAAAGCACGGCCGCCTACGGTGGAGCGAAGGGGGCGAGGGACGAACAGGAGACCGGAGCTGGCTGAGCAGAGGCAGCGGGTGGGGGAGTGGGGTGGTAAGCAAATCGTATAGGTAGAGAGGTGCAAGGGCATGAAGGGATTTGAAAATGAGTGAGAGGATCTTGAAATCGATCCGTTCGGTGATTGGAGGCCAGTGCAGCCTGACAAGGATTGGTGTGATGAGGGTCCGGAGTTTTGTGCGGTTGTTCTCTATGTCAGCAAGCGTTCACAAGATAATAATAATCCTTGCCTTTGATATAAGGTCTTATTACGTCTTCGATATGTCTCAAAGCACTTCACAGAATACACTGTAAAGTGAATTGACTGTATATTTTGTGGGTGTAACACGGCAGCCAATTTCGCACAACAGTGTCCCACAAACAGTTGTGGATTGAATGACCAAATTATTATTTCTTTCAAGAAAAAAATCTCAAGATCTACAAATCTTCAAGATCTCAAGAGAAGTTTGGAAGTAGAAGTCCCTTGAGCCCATTTGATCTTGTGCATCTAGAATACTCACTCTACTGCCCTCCCATTACTCTTTCTTAAAAAAGTCCAGCATTATTACATACCAAATAGCAGTAGGAACACTTTCCCTTCTCTAGCTTTAGATTATAATAAAGGCAATTTATAGTGTCCTCATCATTACCTGCTGAGATCAGTTAACTGAGCATAAAACAGGATTCAATCCAGGATACTGAACTTCATACCTCGGTTCTACACCACACAGCACATTTATCTACTAAGCCATCTGGGCAAATCAATACAAAAAGGAATTCAGAAACTTGTCTAAATCTTTAACCATGCAGCCTCATTTTATTTTAGTTTCAAAATGTGAAAGTCGTATAGCTGATCCTAACACTTACCTTTTGTCTGTCTCCAGTGACTGAGAGACACAAAAAGAAAAGCAGGAATGCTGAGAAAATCATTGGACAAGGGTTGCGAGTCATCCTCAGTCTCCAGTGACTGACCACTGATCCAGTTTCATGCGATAAAATACCTTTCAGGATTAATATTCAACCAATGTTTCCAAAGGTCACTCACCTGTTGGATAACAACCTTAGAGCGTTACTGTCTTTAACCCTGAGGATCATCCTCCTTTCTTTCCTCTGCACTGTGTCTAGAGCCTGTGCACTCTAAGTCAACTAAGTTTTCAATTAAATTTAACTTGAGTTTTCAGCCACTTTGCCCAGAATCTTTGGAACACTCTTCCTCTTTCCCTTCACCTTGCCTCCTCCTTCCCCATTTTCAGGTCACGCCTGAAGACCTTCCTCTTTGACCGTGCCTAGGATCACCACCCCACCCGGCTTGGTGTTGTGCTCCGCCACTGTCAAGTGCTCTGGGACGCTACCCTGTATGAGGGGTGCTATATAAATGCAAGTTGTTGTTGTTATTGTTGACTTGTCACTCACTATGTCAAAGCAGTGTAAGGCAGCAATAAACTAGGCAAACAGGGTACCGGGATATGTTACTAATTTGAGTGAAGTTTATATCCTGTACTCAAGCTATATTTAAGCATTCCAAAACGCTGTGCCGTGTGAAGGGAGCTGTATAAACACAAGTGCTTGGTATTGTTTTATAGCGCTCTGTTCAGGCTGCACCTACAACAACAACTTGCATTTATACCTAGAGTACCTCATACAGTTCTGGTCACTTGAGCCAGTGCAGAGGAGAGCAATGAGTGTTAGAGGAATGAGCTATGAGAAATGCTTAGACAACAACAACAACTTACATTTAAATAGCACCACTCATGCAGGATAGTGTCTTAGAGCTCTTGACAGTGGAGGAACATGACTCCGAGCCAGGGGGAGGGGTTGGTGACCGTAGGCATGGTTGAAGAGGAAGGTCTTCAGGCACAATCTGAAAATGGGGAAGGAAGGGGCAAGGTGGAGCGATAGAGGAAGAGGGTTCCAGAGTTTCAGGGTGTCGTGGCTGAAAGCGTGGCCCCCAATGGTAGACAAACTGGGGGACTTCAGTCTTGAGAGAAGACTTCTCAGAATGGATCTTTTAAACGTGTATAAATGTTTAAATGGGATTGAAAAAGTATACCCAGAACAATACTTCTTCAAGATGCAATACAAAATTACATTTCTAAAGTGCCTTTCACGTCGGGAGGATGTCCCAAGGCGCTGAATAATCAGGGATTAGGACCCAAGTGGGGGTGGGGTGTTGGGATCAGGGAGGCTGGAAGGCAGAGAGGGTAGGAGGGTGGCCAAAGGCACAGTCGAAGAGGAGAGTCTTGAGATGTGCCTTGTGGAGTCCTGTAACTTTGCAAGCGAGAGACCTGGAGTCCTGTAGCTTTGCAAGCGAGAGACCTGAGTTCAATTCCAGGCAGAGGGCAAAACCTTGGGCAAGTTTCCTTGCTCCACACAGAGGCTAATAATAATCCCTCCAAAAACCAAAAACAATAATAAAAATTGGTCATTTTCAATCTATGACTGTTTGTGGGACATTGCTGTGTGCAATTGGCTGCCACGTTCGCCCACAAATATACAGTCAATTCACTTTACAGTGTGTTCTGTGAAGCGCTTTGGGACGTCCTCCCGACGTGAAAAGCGCTATATCAAATGCAAGGATTATTATTATTATTATTATTGAAGGAGGCAAGGGAGGGAGCGAGGCAAAGGGGATGTGGGATGGAGTTCCAGAGGGTGGAAGCAGAGAGGCTGAAGGCCCCACCGCCGATGATGGGGAGGGCCAGGCGGGGGATATGGAGCAGGTTGAACGGAGGGAGTGGATGCACGAAGATGCACGGAGGTAGCAGAACAAGAGGCCATAGTTTTAGAGTTACAAAAGGCAATTTCAGGACAGACACCATGTGTTTATTTAAAAAAAATTATTTAGAAGGTAATCAACAACTGGAATAGGTTACTAGGAAGAGTGGTTGAGGCCAGGACACTGAACTCATTTAAAGATGCTGTCTTAGGAGAAAGATTTGTGGGCATTCTGGAGGGATGAGATCAAATAGGCCAAAAGGGTCTTCGTAATCTGAACTAATCTTGTGATCTTGTGATGTGTAAACTAATAATATTACAGTAATAATAATATCCTTGTGTTTGATCTAGTCCTTTTCAATTCAGGCGGGTTCCCAAAGCGCTTCACAGGATTTACCGTGAAATGGAGTGACTGTGTATTTGTAGGCGAACGCAGCAGCACAATAATTCAGTGAAATCCCATAAGCAGCCATGAAATGAATGATTAGTTTTATTTAGGGGATTGTTGGCTGGGAGAAACTCCCTTTTCTTTTTGGATAGCACTGTGGGATTTGTAACATATACTTGAACAGGCAGACAGGACCTCAGTTTATCATCTCATCTGAAAGATGACACCTCCGTCAATGCAAGAGCCCCAGCACTGCACTGACTATGCATAGTCAGCCTAGACTATATAAGTTTGAGTCCCACATGAGGCTGGAACCCACAACCTTCCAACCCAGAGGCAAGAGTGCTATCAGCTGAGCCAGGCTGACGCACAAAAGTTTGGGTGCTTTGGTTATCAACCTCCAAAGTAGAGAAGACACATAGATGAAAGGAAGCATACATGGAGAACAACAGAACCGCAGTATTGCAAAGAAACATGCCAATGATTAACTTGTGCTTTTTCCAATATTTGTTTTGCAAGATTTGTCCACATTTGTCAAGAGCATACGTCTACTAGATAAGCAGGACATTGTAAATCCTCAATTTACTGCAAAGTGTAGTGACTGTGTTTTTTGTACGCAAACATTTAGCATCCTGTAATGTATTGGCTAGAGTTCTCATCTCGCAAGCAAGAGGACCTGTGTTTGATCCCTGGGTAACTTTCCCACTGCTTGTCCAGCCAGAATCATTCCACCCATTAGGGCTTTGGCTTGCAGGGTTAACAGAAACTGAGTGGAATGACACCCTGCTCCCAGGTAATTTAAAAACACGAGAAAGATACAAGACATTATACATCACTTAGCCTTGCTTTTGCAGTGGGTGAAAAGCTTCACAAAGATGGATGCAATCAATGCAGTGTGACTTTATAAGAGTGGGGTCAAAAATTGTGGCTTGCATATTTATTACAGTAAATGTAACACATTATATACATTAAATATAATTATTATTAAATGGGCCTGAGGTAAGTCCCCCTCCCTACCCCCTCCTGGTTTGAGTAGTAAAGATATACCCTAGGTATGCCCACAAAGGTCTATTTGCTGCGTTGAACTTCTGGCTCACCTCCTTCTACTCTCAGTTACCAAGATATTATCTACCTGGTAAATATAAACCGTCAAAAGCTAATGCCCTATGAGACTGAAGTCCAGCACTGTTGGCATGGTTTTAGGATGTCACCATTCAGAATGCCCCTGGGGGAGTGGGGGAGTGGTGTGGTGGGGGAAGAAGGGTGTGGGATGTGTGGATAGTGATGCTTTGATTGACAGGGTGAGAAAACCAATAGGGAAGCACGACACTTTCAATGCTTGTCAGTCTGGGGGCTGGACTGCCTCTGGCATGATTGACAGCTTCGGGATATTGATACAATAACCTCACATAAGTCATATCAGTTGGGACGATACATTTAATATGACTTACGCAAAGTATGAGCTATGTCAAACTTGCTTTGAATATAAACTCCTCAATGGGACGTGGGCAGATGTACGACTTAGGCAATTATATGAAATATACAGATCAGACTTTTACTGCGAGTTTTACTGTAATTGTAAATGCTATTGTTGAGTCTAGTAGTGTGTGCAAAATTACTTGTTGGTCTAAACTTAAGTGAGGAACCGAAACCATGTGACGGTATTGAAACCTTGAAGGCATACCAGGCGATAAAACAGTAGCTTGTGATATAAAGAATAGAATATTCTTGTACTCATCTTTTTTGCTTGTGTTAAATAATTACCAAATAGGGCAATGAATTGTAAAGACATTATGCCAGCAAAAAACGAGGGTATAAAGTAAGCAAAAAAGAGACAACTGTGTGCCACATGATCAAGCCGTCATCCATCATCTCTTCTTCGGTGAAAAAGTGGAAAGGTGGGACTGAATGGATTTTAAAAGAACAAGTACAGACGCAATGAACCGAATGACCTTATTCTGTACTGTAAAGTTTTGTAATAATAATAATAATCCTTGCACTTGATAAATACAATACCAAATTACATTTGTAAAGCCCCTTTCACATCATGAGGACGTCCCAAGGCGATGGACAGTCAGGGATTTGGATTACCCCAGGAAAGCGACCTGCCAATCGATTAACAACCGGATTCCTACTTACTGCTAGATAAATAGAAGCGTGTGGAGAGTAAGGAAACTCCCCCAAGGTTTCGCCCTGCCCGGGAATTGAACCCGGGTCCTCTCGCTTGCGAGGTGAGCCCTCTATCCAATATGCTATAGGGCTCCATGATGGATCAGCCTCAGACTTATCTTAGTATTACCTGAACTAACTGTACACGACTTGCTGGGTAGCAGTATCAATGAGGTTTCAAGCATCAATGATTAAAATAGAAATACGGTAGTTGATAACTGCTAACAACATAGGCTAGTTCATTTCACCAGATGTTCAATATACAGATTTTATGAACTAAAGCTGTGACATAATATCAGCAGAAAATTGTAGGACCTTTGCATCAATTCGATCCAGACCCTTAAGATTAGGAGAAAAGACAGATCATAAAGCTCCTTCTGTTCAACAGATGGTTGTGGCTGAGAAGTTAATGCATTTGGAGATAATCTGTTTCTTCAGTTTAACACTGGCATCTTTGATCCAGTGTCCGTGTGGTCATCACATCCAGCCTTTGAGTTTCTATAGATCATTTTGTCTCTGAGTGTGTTCCAATTTGATCTCAAGTCAAATTGAAAGAAGCTGCTGCCATTTGAAACAATCTGAGCCTAGATTTCTTCTGCCTAGATTCGTATAGCGCCTTTCACGTCAGGAGGCCATCCCAAAGCGCTGAATCATCAAGGATGTGCACCTGAGCTGGGGTTTGGGATCAAGGGGAGTGAAGAGCAGGGAAGGTGAGGTTAGGGGGTAACTGAAGGCTTAGTCTTAAAATGGATTTTGAAGGAGGCAAGGGAGGGGGTGAGGCGAAGGGACTGTGGGATGGAGTTCCAAAGGGAGGGGGATCTATAGTGGACCACCTACTATTCCTCCTTTCATTATACTGTAGAATATGGGAAAGGGAAACCTAGAAGACCTAAGACCTAACCTAAGAACCGGTGTAGTTATTGAATGTGGCTGCATGATTATGATTTAAAATTCAAGCAATCTAGGGCCATTGCAAGTTGTTAATCAGTACATTATTAGTATGGCAACAAAAACCGAAGTCGCTGGGAACACATAGCAGGTCAAGCAGCATCTATATAGAAAGGAAGGTGAGTCAACGTTTCGGGTCTACGACTCTTCATCAGAACTGGGGCATATTGGGAGGGAGAGGCTTTTAAGGGCTAACAGAGAGGGGGGAGGCAGGACAAGGAAGACAAAAGAGAAAATGAGGTAGAGGACAGGGGATGATGGGTTAAAAAGTGGTAATGATGCAAAACAAAGCGGGGGATTGCAACACAACAGGGGAATAGAGGTGTTAATACTGCAGAACAAAGTGGGGGGAAAGATTGCAACAAAATAGGCAGAACCAGAGAGAGAAAAAGTGTGTCTGGGACCCAGATGATGTGGTAATGGTCACAGAAGAGGGGGTGGGGGAATGTGAGCTGTTATGGTCTGAAATTGTTGAAATCAACATTGAGGCCAGAGGGCTGTAGGCCCCCAGCAGATAAATGAGGTGCTGCGCCTCGAGCTTGCATTGTGGTTCATTGGAACAGCGTAGGAGACCGTGGATGGAGAGGTCAGAGTGCAAGTGGGAAGGAGAATTGAAGTGGCAAGAAACCGGAAGCTCAGGATTGTACTTGCAGAAAAGTTGTTTTGTTGCATTTTGTTTTCATTACTAGCATGGAAGTTGATTGCTTTCTGTACTTAAGTGCATCTTAGCATCAATCATAAGATCATGGGAAAGGTCCAGGTTGAACAAGTCTCTTCGATCTCATCCATCCAGAATAATCAACTCCCATCACAACTTTGAGTTTTTTTTCCTGTTAAAATGATAATTACCCAATAATCTGGAGGTTTTGCTCAGAGACATTGAGGAGTTGGAGCGAGTCAGCAGGGTTTTGTTCAGATACATTGGGGTCTACAGTTGTTGATAGGAAAAGCTTTGGTGTGGTTTAGAAAAGGACTGGGCAGAATGCCCTTTGCAAATTCCTGCATGCTAAAAATTCGTAACCCTACAAATTACTAACCAGCTTGGACCCACATCATTGAGGATTCAAGAACAATGGGAGGTGAAAGTTTTCAATAAACTAGTTATTTAACAAAGGAAAGATAAGACATCAGCTTCTAAGGAATAGATTAACAAGTCCTTGTACAACACAGCACTCATCCAGTTTATTTAATCCTCACTTGACATTGTTAGTTGGTGCCACCAACGTCACCAAGTGCAATTCATTACTGATGAGTACATAAACATCACACAAGTGACAATCCATGTATGAGGTGGGGAGGGTGAGAAATTTCAGAATCAATACTTATTTTCACTGAATTTACAGGGTGATCTGTTCATTTATTTTCGCCCCTGATTTTCTCGATTTTTTTGATATAAAAACCCTCCCTACAATTTTTTTTATTTTGTGACGTTTTTGTCCTGCGAACCTTTGTGTTCATGTAAAGACTACTCAACAAACTTGGAATTTTAAGAAGAATACACTATTTTTATTTCTTATTCAGAAAGATTTTGAACAAAGGAATAGGGAATAGACACAACGAGCTTTCTCTGCCATTTAGGAGCCACTGAAATGTGTCAGTGCTGCTGAAAATCCATACCCTGAGGAACCTTGTTGTAACATGGTCCACTGCGGTCAATAGTTCAGAGGCCACGTTATGAGCAAAACATGAAAAAAGATAAACTTCCAGGTTGCCGGTTCGATGCTGACATCACTTCCTGCACATGGTGCATGATGCAGAAATGCCGCTGTCAATTTCCTTGGCACGGTCACATCAGCTGCATTTCCTGCGCATAGTGCACGCTGGAGGAAGTGACCCGAAAATGCAATGCAAGCAGAAGGCGAGTCAGGTCAGAGGCCAGCCAAGTGTACATTGCTTCCAGTTAGTTTGTGTCCACAAGACATCAGCACTGTAAGTGAGTCAACGTTATAATGGAAGTTCCTTGTATTTTAGTTTTCTGTGACCAAGCACACATTGCTGACACATAAGCCACACAAGTGCAAAAAATAAAATTAAGACCATTGCATCTCGACCAACAATTCAAGTTAGTGCTGGCTCTGTGTGGCTTACGTCAAGGCAGGCAAATAAAACATTCTGTAATTAGAAAACTTTTTAAGTGCCAAAAGAGTCATTAAAATAAAAAAGTGTGAAAAATGTCTAAAATCTTAGCGTTACAGTACGTAGTAAGTTACAAAAAGTTTTAGTTTTGGGAACCTACTTGACATAAAATATCCATTAAAATAAAATCAGATGGGCTTACATAGTAAGCTAATACAGTTTGTTTTGTGTTTTGATGGAATTACATCCCACAAAAAGGCCAACTATTTTGGCACTGGCATAAACATTTATAAAATCATGTCCATCTTCTTTATACATCATTGGTATTAACATATTTACAGATCACTTGAGGTCAAGGCACAAGCTAGCCAGCCATCCATAGCAAGAAGGGTATCAAAATGGTGGGAAGAGTGGTAGAAGGCCCCAAACCCAGCCAAAACATCCCAGCCAGGCCTAACGCAGCAGTGACAAAAACACTCCTCTGGTCCCGGATTATAGTCTTCACCACCTCACAGAACTGCAAAACAAAAGACAAGCACATCAGTGATCAAACATCTATCTACAGCAATATCAAATAAATAAAATACTAATAATCATTTGGTCACTCAAACCACGATTGTTTTTGGGACACCGCTGTGTGCAATTGGCTGCCGCATTTAGCCCACAAAAAATATATACAGTCAATTTACTTGATAGTGTGACGCTTTGAGATGTTTCGAAGATGTGATAAGGCACTATATCAAATGCCAGGATTATTCTTATCACAGTTTTAGAGCTCTGGTCATCAATGTCATTTAGGAACGATTCCTGCAAATTTACAATTTAAAAGCACGTGTAAAGTTTGTGAATGTTGGCTTGGCTAAACAGAGCGCAAATTACAGCAATGAAACACGTGAGGCAACTAGGAGGACTGAATTTAAAAGTAAATTTGAGCACCATGGACAAATTTTGCACTCTGGTCAGATTACCCTCAATAGCCAAAATGTTAGTTTTAAATAGGATGTTACACCAGCCCTCCCTACTATGCCCACCACAGTGAATTAATTAGCTCCAACTGCTGTCTCTTTTGCGAACTGGAACAACTTAGCACGTTGATACTGTATTGATTTCACTCAAAGCTGGGCACCTTAAGAATGGAAATGTTTAAACCCCTAGTTTAATACTTATAGCTGTGTCCAAGCCTGAAGACCTAACAGAATATAAATTTAATCACCATAATAATAATAATCCTTGCATTTGATGTAGTGCCTTATCATGTCTTCGAGACATCTCAAAGCGCTTCACAGAATATACTGTAAAGTGAAATGACTGTGTACTTTTGTTGGGGAAACACAGCAGCCAATTGTGCACAGCAGTGTCCCACGAATAGACGTGGATTGAGTGACCAAATTATTATTATTATTTTTATTTTTTNGAAGGGATTATTATCCCCGGAAAAGCGATCCACCAATCGACTAACACCAGGTTCCGACTTACCACTAGGTAAACAGAAGCGCTTGGAGTAAGGAAACTTGCCTTACGTTTTACCCTGCTGGGAATCAAACCCAGGTTCCCTCACGTGCGAGGCAAGCGCTCTAACCACTGAGCTGCAGGACTCCACATGCACACCACCTGATGTGAATTGGGTCGGCCAATTCTAGATTCGGCAATTTGATCACTACCGCAAAGAGGCATTAGAGTAAACACAAGGAGGTTCTGGATACAGCTCAAAAAAAGTATGTTTTATGATTCGATTAAACTGTCAAATCAACATATCGATGTACAGTAACAAAGGCGTCCAATGAATATTGATAGACACAATGATTTCAATGATGGTTAAGGAGACAAGATAGAGTAAAGCACTAACTTTAAAGAGCAGATTCTACACTTGTAATAATAATAGCTGGTGGTTTCAATCAGTTGGTCTGTTCTCTGAGACCAGATGTCTGGTTTAGCTCTCAATCCTGCAAGCATTCAAATAGTTTCAAACCTACAGTTAAATATTTAAGCAGTCATTTAATGTACAACATGCAAATTTGCAGTTTCTAAAATCAGCCGTCTAACTGAAATGGGACCATGGTGTTAAAACACACACATGGTAATCACAGTATTCTGCACACCTAGGAATACAATGTTACTTTTCAAAGACTTTGTACAAGTTATGGGCAGCTATGTTGTTGGATTTACTGTCCACTTGGAAGAGTGGCCGACACACTCATGATTTGGTTGAATGCTATGTCCTGCCTACGTGGTGGAAACAGTTACAATGATCTGCCTGCTGTGTTGGAGGTTGAAATTCCAGTCAGTATTACTGTATATTTTTGGCAGTTTGCAGAGGCAGAAGCTGACAAATTACATGTTCCACAGTAACTAAAGCAGACAGCACTTTTTTTCTTTCAAAAAAACAGTTTTTGTGAATAGCTATTCACACAAGAGCAAAGAAATTATAGGCTCCCTGGAGCTAAACCAAGTGAGGTGGAATTAAAAACTAAGATGATCACACGGTTAGACCTTCGGGCTACTATATTTAACATGAAATTCAATCACTCAAACAAATGAAACAAGCCGTAGACTATTTACAGGTCACTTGAGGTCAAGGCACAAGTCGTAATAGCTCCAAACCCTTCAAATCAATACCCAACTATTCTTAAATTTAGTCTGAATTCGGAAGCTTCCAAAATCACTGAATTTAAGAACTGTGCAGACTTCTGCATAACCTTAAATTTTAAGACAAAGTGGGCTTACCAGGTCAGACAAGCTGAAATTCAGGCCTCTGCGGAAAGCCAACTTACTCTCAGAGATCATCCTCAGACCCGAAGACATTGAACAACTTTACCACTGGCCACATTATAATAATAATAATCCTTGTATTTGATCTAGCGGCTTAACATGTCATTGAGATGTCTCAAAGTGCTTCACAGAAAATATTGTGAAGTGAATTTTGAGAGCATAATACGCACAGCAATGTCTCACAAATAATCGTGGAGTGAGTGAGCAAATGTTTGGGGGGCATTTTAGGCAACAATCCTGGATTTCACATTACACTTCAAGACACAGTAGCCTTGCCCCTCCATTCCCCAGTCCTACCCCCCATTCCAGCTCTGCCCCCATTCCCCAGCTCTGCCCCCCCATTCCACAGCCCTGTCCCCATTCCCCAGCCCTACCCCCATTCCCCAGCCCTGCCCCCCAATTCCCCAGCTCTGCCCCCCATTCCCCAGCCAAGACCTCCCACATTCCCCAGACAAGACTCCCCCCATTCCCCAGCCAAGATCCCCCCATTCCCCAGCTAAGACCCCACCATTCCCCAGCTCTGCCCCCCATTTCCCAGCCCTGCCCCCCCCATTCCTCAGCCCACACATACACACACAAACACACCCTTGCACAACCACTCCCACACCCTGACACAGTTTCTCTTTCCCACATCAGTTGAAGAAAATTGTAGTACAACAACAACAAGATTACATTTGTATAGCGCCTTTCACATTGGGAGGACGTCCCAAGGTGCTAGACAGAGTACAGCATTTCAGACCCGAGCTCGGGGTCAGGGGGGGAGAAGGGAGGGGAAGGGGGGTTGCCGATGGGATGGTCAAAGAGGAGGATCTTGAGGCGGGACTTGAAGGAGGCTAAGGAGGGGCGAGGCAGAGTGATTGGGGGATGGAATTTCAGAGGATGGGGGCAGAGTGACTGAAGGCTCTCCCGCCAATGGTGGGGTGGGTGGGTCGGGGGACGTGGAGCAGGCTAGAGCCGGCTGAGCGGAAGGAGCGGGTGGGTTGGTAGGGGGTTAGGAGGTCGCAGAGGTAGAGTGGTGCGAGGCCGTGGAGGGCTTTGTATGTGAGGACCAGGATCTTGAACTGGATCCTCTGAAGGATAGGGAGCCAATGGAGTCGGGCGAGAATGGGGGAGATGGGGTCACAGAGTTTGGTGCGGGAGAGGACACAGGCTGCAGAGTTCTGGATTATCTACAGCCTGTGGAGGGAGGAGTTGGGAAGGCCGACAAGCAGAGCGTTTGCATAGTCGAGCCAATAATAAGAAGCTTTGCAGGTACAGGATCAGATGATGAATGATCTGCGTTAAGGATTTGGAGAATGTCGAAATTCAGCCTGAACAACAACAACAACTTGCATTGATATAGCACCCCTTCACGCAGGGTAGCGTCTCAGAACATTTGACGGTGGCAGAGCACATGGCAGAGCACTACCCCGAGTGGGGGGGAGGGGGAGGTGACCATGTGCACGGTCAAAGAGGAAAGTGTTAATTTATAAGACACTTCAACAATTGTTTAAAAAAACAAGTAGTTTCCATCTAATTAATTTAATGAGAAATGCTGAGCCTCTGAAGCGCTTCTCTGTGTTTCAAGGTCATGCCAGTGCCACAAGCAGCGCGTACAGAAATGTATTAACCATCATAAACCAACGACATGACGGTTAGGAACATTACCCAGAGTTTGCTAAGAACTGCGGCCAGTATTGGCCTTTTGCATCTTGGAGCAGACGGTACTTAGAAATCTTCTCACTCATTTCGTGCAAGTCAAAATCTGAACTTCGTGGTGACCTGTTTTTATTGCTCTCTGCTGTTAGAATGCACTACCTTACAGTGTGTAAAACAAAACTAGATCATTTCACATCAGTTGTCTCTGAGAACAATTATTTCAGTGAGTGGGTGGGTCAACTTACCCTGCAATACACAGAGGATACAGTTCAAGATCCTGGTCCTCACTTTCAAAGCCCTCCATGGTCTTGCTACCTCCTACCTCTGTGACCTCCTAATCCTCTACCAACCTGCCCACTCAGCGGACTCCACCTCGCCCGCCCCACCATTGGCGGGTGGGCCTTTTACCATTCTGCCGCCACCCTCTGGAACTCCATTCCACAGTCCCTCTGCCTCACCCCCTCCCTTGCCACCTTCAAGACCTGTCTCAAGACCCTCCTCTTAGGCTGTGCCTTTGGTCACCCTCCTTCCTCCCCTGCCCTCCACCCTCCCCGATCTTGACCCCCTGCTCAGATCCAAAACACTGATTGTCCAGCGCCTTGGGACAACCTCAAGACATGAAAGGTGCTATACAAATGTAATTTTGTTGTTGTTGTTTCAACACTTACATAAATGAAAACTTTCCTACAAGACTTAGCAACACCCATGAATTAAATTGTACTGAATAGAATTTGAGCACAATGTACAAGAATAAAAGTTTTAAGCTTAATATATTTCTGTTTTCTACTACAGCTTTGCAAAATACTCAAAATCGGGATCCAACCTGTGATAATTAACCCGATCAAAAAGGCAAATAATTTGCTTTAGAAACATTCTTAATTTCAGGCTTCTGACACATTACCCATCAACTCAACGCTTGTAGCTTTACCTCTATCGAAATTAGACACAGTGCCACATTTTTGTTTACAAGAGTAACTGGAGCTTATTACACAAACATTTTAGATAGGCATTTGTGTCCTTATCCTCCACATATGAAGTGCCCAATGCCAACCATCCCCATCATTAGAATGATACAAACCTCCTAAGTATTTAACCTTTTAGTGCAAGATC